TCAGGAGTGAACAAATGGGATCCACTTGTTCCATGGTGTTGAAATTGCCCTTTGGCCTTACAAAGACTTCCTTGTCTCTGTCTCTGTTTCTGCCGACTCAGTGCCTGGCCAGAGGGCGGTTGCTAGAATGTCAGCTCCTTGAAGGACAACAATTTGAGTAGATTATAAACATGATAATGTTGACTATCATTAAAAAATTAAGACCACAAAAATGCACTTTACAATGTAGGTGGGAAAATAGCTGAAGGGTGTGGTTCCAATCCTTGTGAGCATTGTTATTATTGTTATTGTGTGCCTTCAATATACCTTTGAGTCATGGAGACCTCAAGGCAGATCACACACTGTTTTGGGGGGCTGAATGGGTGTGACTTTCCCAAGGTCACCCAGTGGGTTTTCATGGTTAAGTGGATATTTGAACCCAGGTATCTGGAGTCTAACATTGAAACCACTGTGCCACACTGTCTCTTGCAAGCTAGCCTTATGGAAATTAGTAGGATTTACTTGGTTCTGAGTAGGACTGTACTCTGAGTGTCGCTTGGCTTTGGCTGTGTTCCTAGTTTTGCAAAGATGTTGGTGACAGAAAAGAAGACTTGTGCTCCTTCAAGGTAATTTCAGGAAGAAAAAAAACATAGTGCCTTAGACTTACTTTCCTTGTAACTGGGTGTCCCTGGAATGCATTGATTAGATTGCAGCTTTTGTTACTCACAGCCCGCATGGCAAATGGTGTACTAGCTTGGGCTGATGGGAATCCAGCACATTTAAAACTAGCAGTGTTATGAGACAAATGGCTTACAGTTTCATTATTATATATATGTCCAATTTCCTGGTGGTGCAGTGGGTTAAACCACTGAATTTGCTGATCAAAAGGTCACAGGTTTGAATCCAGGGAGTGGCATAAGCTCTTGCTGTTAGCCCCAGCTTCTGCCAAACTAGCAGTTTGAAAACATGCAAATGTGAGTAGATCAATAGGACCTCTCCAGCAGGAAGGTAATGGCGCTCCATACAGTCATGCTGGCCACATGACCTTGGAGGTGTCTACAGACAATGCCAGCTCTTCGGCTTAGAAATGGAGATGAGCACCACTTCCCAGAGTCGGACATGACTGGACTTAATGTCATGGGAAAACCTTTACCTTACCAATTCCATCATGTGATATGACTGATTCTCCAATAACCTGCACATGGTCTTGCCAATGACTTGTCCATTTTGAGGAGGAGCATAGTACTTTCTGTGTGGTTGCATCTTACCATGAGCTCTATCCATACTAGTTGACATGATAGGACCTGGTAACCTAGAAAAGGAGAATTCACTTGTGTGCCTCAAGTTTTTAAATCTTTCTCAAAACCCATTTTTGATTGCTGTTAATATTTGCTATTTAAAAAGCATTTTAAAAAATTCCACTCCTGTGATATAGTTATTACAATAATTTTTAAAAAGCCGAAGAAAGGAAAAGCAAAGTGAAAAAAAGGGTTAGAAGGTGGGAAGTTTATGTCAGTTGACCTGGCAGGAACTGTAGTTAGCTGGGCATGTTATCTTTGGAGCTGTATCCCTCCTCCTTTCATCCTCAGATACTAGCACTCATGCATAATCTTGTGCATCCCATCTCTCATACAGATACACACAGGGAATGTTTGGGTAGGCTAACCCTTTTCTCTCCCAGCGCTGTTAGCCCCGCATAAATCATACTGTTGTCAACCTATCCAGCATCTGCTTGACAGATGGCAGAAGTAGGAATTAATTGGGAAGAATGACACATACAAATGTCTTTTCTTGGGAGTTTCCATGCCACTGGAGCAGGGAATCTGTTCTAATTTTTAGCCTGCAGGTTAAAGGAGGTGCCCAAGATGTTGAATTTGTAGAGCACCTTGGACAGCCCCTTTAAAGTTTTATCTAAGACTCATGGAAAATTAATTTCCCTACTGATTTGGAGGCCAAAACTGTCCCTTAAATGGCTGCCATCCTCATTCCAGCCATTTGATGGTGCGGAAGCTGATGTTTCATTTCCAAGCCAGGCACCTGAACTCAGCTACAAATGGAAATGTTGGTCACCATCCACAAAATACACCAAACACCTCCAAGGTTTGCATGCAGTGTGGAGGAACCAGCTACTTTAGATTATTTCATACACACTTTAGTTATGTGGCTGAGGGGGGCAGTTTCCACCCCTGGACCCCTGTGTTCTGACATGCTACAAGTAATGTCACTTCTGAGCAACGTTTTAGCGGATCTTCATTGTTTTTTGTTGTATGGTTTTGCGGGACTATTGGGCAAGGGAAGTAAACTAACATGTTTGTAGCTGGTGTTTAAGGAGCCCCAGGTGGCGCAATGGTAAAAATCCTTGTGCTGGCAGGACTGCTGACTGAAAAGTCAGCGGTTCAAATCCGGAGAGTGGGGTGAGCTCCAATCTGTCAGCTCCAGCTCTCATGCAGGGACATGAGAGAGGCCTCCCACAGAATGTTGAAACATCAAACATCCGGGTGTACCCTGGGCAACGTCCTTGCAGACGGACAATTTTCTCACACCAGAAACGACTTGCAGTTTCTCAAGTCGCTCCTGACACAAAAAAAATCTGGTGTTTAATTTGTTTGACTGGTTTGAGTGCATGTATTGAATTCTCAACAAAATTGGTGGGAAATATTGACAATTTCAAGGAAGGGGTGTAACTGGGGGACTTCAGTGATAGGGTTGCATGTGCACCATGGACCCCACTTTGCCTCCTCTTCTGTAGACTCAGACTGCTTTCTAAGGAGGGATGAATAGAGACTTCGTCTATTCTTATTTTCATGTACAGTTGTAAGGTTAAGCAGTAATTACAGGGTGAAGAAGTAAAAGGTAGTCACACTGCATTAGATTTGTTGCCCCTTTGGTCCTTAACAAACAGCAGCAGGTTTTTGTTTTGTTTGTGTGTGTCAGGAGTGACTTGGGAAACTGCAAGCTGTTTCTGGTGTGAGCAGGTTGAAAGGCAAAACACTGCCTCTGTAGAAACATCGAGCCACTTTGACAAGTGGCTCCTAATTCAAAAATTATCTTTCTTGCAACTTGCTGTGACTCTGCTTCTCACCACCCACAAAACTCTGCTTCTCACCCTGGTGGTCTCTTGTATTGATTAGATCAAAATTGACTCCAATTCCATAGTTACTGATCAAGTCTGACCAAAACTGTTGAGCAAGAGGGCTGCCTATGTTCCAACATTATTTGAAACAGATTTGCCAGGCACTTGCACATAAGAATTCTGTTCATATCCATTGGAATTTGGTATGCTGCTGAGTACAAAGTATGCTAACTCAGATCCACAGATGAGCATCTGCATGTAAAATCCGTAAATATGATAACTGGCCCGGGGGTGTGCATGTGTCCCATTTGTGTATTGGGAATTCACTGCCAGACACAAGTAGTACCAATGTTGCCAGCTCTGATCTCCTGCGTGTGGCTGAATTTAAGGTCTGTTTTTTCTCCAGTGGGCAACCAGTGCTGTCTGAGCTGACGGCATTAATCATCTCTTTGATGGGGAGAAGGAGTGGGATCGTAAGCGGAGCCGCAGGCAGACAGCCCTGCTGTTGTGTGAGAATGTCCCTGAATCAGGGCCAGCACCCCCATTTCTGTTTGTTTCTGGTCTGTTCAGCATTCTGTGAACAGAGGAAAGACAGGCTTATCATCCAAGTCAACAGTTTCCCTGCACTTCCTAATAATATCAGGCAATTTGGGCAGGATAGAGAGATTGGATGAGATGTGGTTTGACAAGGCACATGTTTTACACGTATCTTTCCTATACCATCGGACTCAGTACAAGCTGTGGCTGGAGATCAAGGATCAGCAACATCCAGCAGTCTATGGGACAAAGTTATTTTTCCCCCGGCTACAAATCCCATGACTTGTTTGTACTCCAAATAGCAGAAACTCTTATTATATTGCAGATCTTATCAGAACATGTAGGAAATGAAGGCTCATTTTTTGGAGGCTTTTAAACAGGGCGAGTGGCCATCTATCGGGAGTGCTTTGAATGCAGTTTTCCTGCTTCTTGGCAGGGGGTTGGACTGGATGGCCCATGAGGTTTCTTCCAAATCAAGAATTCTATGATTCTAAGTTGTAGTTGGGAAAACTAACATTTTCCAGTTATGATAACAAGAAAACTTGAGTTGTTATTGTAATATTGGTGTTCACTGCAATCATAACAGAAAGGTAGTTATGCTAAAATTGGAAGTATTTATCCATACTGTTGTTCTGTGGTTGAGCAGCAGATTCACATTCTTTCAGAATTTAAACATTATTTCACAGCTGCTGTAAATTATTTAGCATTTCTTCAGTTTGCCATCATAGTATCTAATTATCAGTTAAGAAAATTTGCTGAGGCTGAGAGCCAAGCAGCTCAGATCTGAAGTCTTGCTGTGTACGGCCTTGGAGCTAAGCTATATAGATGGACAGATTTAGTATTTTAATTAATGGGCGAATAGGCTGCTACAACTTAGTTTTCAGGTGAACTTTGTTGCGCTTTGGTTTGATCTGCAAGTTGAGCTGCTATTATCCAAAGGCCTAATTCACAGGCAATGAAGATGCCACAGCGAATGTTAAATTGACCAAGCTATAAAATGACGGTTTCCGAAGCTAGAGAAGAGTTTTACTCTTCAGTGTTATCAATAAAGAGCTTTGGAGCACCATAAAGAATGGCAAATTTATTATGGCATATATTTTCGTAGCTAAAGTCCACTTCATCACACTCAGTAAAATATTCCCCTGCATTATGTGACTTGGGAGCAAGAGGCTTGCAAACAGTGAGGTCAAATGGAAATGAAATGCAGCCTCAGTCCAACATGGGTATTTTTCTGGAAATGCTAAGCATTTGATCTTTGCAGTCAAAAGTGGAAAAGCTGTTAAGCACTGGGATTTCAATATCTGTTTTACAGAAGCTTCTTAATGCCCCCTGTGCAATGCACTCAAGGGCTTCAGCCTGAAGTGAAATGGTGACGTGGTGCGTTAACTTCTGCTTGCTTCCTGTGTTGCAGGCGGCCACAACAAGAGACACTACAGCTGCCACAAGCAGAATTGCCCCAGGATACCAGGAGCCATCACCTGGTTGGAGAGAGTGCCAGTAAGAGGTGAGATTGGGAATTAGATTAGATTCTTCTTTATTAAAACATGGTTTCACTTCTATCAAATTCCTTATTGAAGCAGTGGTTTTCACCAAAGAAAAGGGAAATGCTGAAATGGTATCAGTCCGCAACCCAAGATTTGGCTGCCTAGTTCAAATCAGTATTAAAGTCAGCCAACCATTTTTGTTAAGAAAAATCCTAAGTGTCTCTATAGGGTTGTCGTGGCCAGCTGGTGTCCTATGAGGCAGAATTCCAGGTTTAACCTGCTAGGGTTTCTAATCCAGGTATCAAGAGCCTCCCCCCCCCTCCCATGCAATGCTTGGAGCCTCCCTCCCTCCCAAAAGCCCCCTCCAAAAAGGGGATCTGTTCTTGGCCCAGGGCTGTTCAACACCTTTATCAATGACCTAGGTGATGGAATAGAAGGCATGCTTATCAGATTATCAACTAAAAAACTGCATAATGCCCATCTCTATTTGAGGCCTGCTTGTACTGTCCCTGGCCTATCCTCCATCTGAGCCCACTTCTCTTTTGGCAAATGCAGTATTTCAGACGCCTTGTCCAAGTTTTATGTTTCATAGAATCATAGAGTTGGAAGAGATCTTGTGGGCCAAGAAGCAGGAAAATTGTATTCAAAGCACCCCCTGTTTAGAAGCCTCCAAAGAAGGAGCCTTATCATACCCCGGGCCAGAGAGTTCCACTGTTGAACAGCTCTCACAGTTAGGAAGTTCTTCCTCATGTTCAGGTGGAATCTCCTTTCCTGTAGTTTGAAGGCATTGCTCCGTGTCCTAGTCTCCAGGGCAGCAGAAAACAAGCTTGCTCCCTCCTCCCTATGACTTCCCCTCACATAATTATACATGGCCATCAAGTCTTTCCAGCCTTCTCTTCTGCAGGCTAAACATGCCCAGCTCTTTAAGCCACTTCTCATAGGGTTTGTTCTCCAGAGCCTTGATCATTTTAGTCGCCCTCCTCTGGAAATCTTCCAGCTTGTCAGCATCTCCCTTTAATTGCGGTGCCCAAAATTGGACACAATGTGATTCCAGGTGTGGTCTGACCAAAGCAGAATAGAGAGGGAACATGACTTCCCTGGATCTAGACACTATACTCCTAGTGATGCAGGCCAAAATCCCATTGTTGGCTCATATTTCATTCAACCCCACCATATAATTGTCTCCTGGTTTCTTGGAGATGTTTTTCAGGCCCTACTCTGTGGTTGTCCTTTTTGTATATTATTAAACTGGCATTTTCCTTGGTCCTTCCTTTTCCGTTTCTGCCTATTTCTGCTACCTAATTCATTATTCTTTCTTCTTTCATTTCATACTTCTGGCATCTGGTGTCCCTTAGTATCCTATTGTTCTGGGATTCCTTTTGATACAATAGCCTGCCCCATCTCAAAATCCAATCCAATCCAAATTGACAACTTTCCTTTTCCTTATAGAAGCAGGTCCGCAAAATATTTTCTTCCCTCAACAACTGAACATTCGATCCATCACACCAGTTCCAGTCATTTTCACAGACTTGACAAGTGCAATGCAATCATGTGTTTTGATATGTACTAGTGTTACTTGGCACTCTACTTAAATAACAAACCCTTGTAAGCTAAATGGCAGTGTGACTGAACCAGCATGACAGATTTGGATAACCATCTGTAACTACCATGTGGCTCTAGAAGACTTCACATTTTCAGACCTAGATCTCCTTTCCTGAAATGGTGTCTGGAAATTTATCAGGACCTTTTCAGAAAAGCATGTGTATCCGGGTCACAATATGCAAATCTTTAGGACTGAATCCTAATTGTCTTGTATCATTTGTTGTTGTTGTTGTTGTTCCAGAGGAAACCAAACTAAAGACTCGTCCAAGGAAGAAAGTGCTTATCATCATAAGGAGAAGGTAATATGCACATCCTTCATTTGTTTTTGTTTTATTTTGTCTCCTTCTAAAATCAGTCTAGCACAACAAGCCAAGAATGGGCATTACCTGCCCCCTCCATATTGCTGGACTACATCTTCCATCAGCCCTCCCTGCTGGTTGTGCTAGGTGGAAGTTGCAGCACTACAATAATGGGAGAACCACACTGTTTCTAACCTGGACCTCATTTCTGTTGTTCTTCCCAATTCAAGTAGACCCAATGAAAAAGTGGTACATAAATTAATGTTAGCACAAATGCCATTAATTCAATTCTGTTGGAGGCTATCAAATTGGATTAGACCAGGGGAGGGGGTTGTGCAGTTTAACTGCAAGTCCCAACCACCTTAATCAGCATAGCAGGTGGTGCAGAAGTCTGTTACAGTCCAAAAACATCAGGAGGGCTGTAAAATTGGTGATGGGTGTAAAGAGTTGCCTGCCCATGATGCAGATTATTTTGTGCACAAAATGTTTCAGGGTGCTTTTGTCCCCCCCCCCCCCCGCCCCTCTTGTTTGAGAACTTGGCTAGCAGAACAAGCAAAACACAAGGGTGATCATTATTCCTCCCAACAGCAGAAGATCAGAAACGATGAGGCAGTGATAGGTCCACGTTCCAAATCAACCTAGTGCACCTGTAGTTTCCATAGAATTGGAACTTAGATCTTTGGTTTCTCTTATAAGTTCTGGGAATCTGCAAGGAAAATGGAATTGCCAAGACAATGATGGACAAGCTGGTGGAACGTTTATTTTATATCATTTAAGAAATCTGTACATTTCCTTGTCAGAACCAAGCTCTCTCAAAGCAACGTGTACTTTTGATATATATAAAGATATATATTGCAGTGGATACAAAACAAATCAGATTAACAGGAACATTGTGCTGAAATCACAGTCTTCCAATGTGAGTAAAATGCTAAGTGAAACAAAAAAAAAAAGGTGGCGGTGAGGAGTCTTTGAGATCCTTTAAAAGCAGGAGCCCTCAAACCCTCTAAGCCAAGGGCCAGTTCATGTCCCCCAGACTATTAGGGGTCTGGACTATATTTTGAAAAAAACAGGAACGAATTCCTATGCATACTGCACATATCTAATTTATAGTACAAGAAAGTATGCCAGAACAATACAGTATTTAAAATGATGAACAATTTTAACCCACATAAACTTACTAGTACTTCAATGGGAAATGTGGGCCTGTTTTTGCTGATGAGATAGTCCAGTTATTAGGATTGTTGATGTTGTTGTTGTTGTTGTGAGCCTTCCAAGTTGTTTCAGACTTAGGGAGACCCTAAGTTGGGGGTGGGGGTGGGTTACCTGACCTTGGAGGGCCACATCTCGCCCAAAGTTTGGGGACCCCTGTTTTAAAGATTAGCAATTATAGAACCAAACACTCTTCATTTGGAAGGGAGTCCCAATAACATAGAATCATTGTTTATTTTAAACTACTTTGTGGATTCCAATAGCAATAAAACAGCTTTTTAAAAGTTAAGTAAAATAGGTTTAAAAAGTTTGATCTTTGTTGCCTCAAATTGTTAGATATGGCTCAAATGAACATAATGTTTAAAACTTACATCTGAATCTGCCTAGTTGGACTCTGCTATTAGGCATTTAGATCCTGATGTATTGATTGCCAATGTCCAAATTCAAATGCTACCCAAATTAGACTTTATAAATAGATGTTTGGCTTCCAAAATTGGATTTTAACAATTGGCATTCAACTCATCAGTCAAATGACAGATGTTATCTGTTCACTCTGTGTGACTCTGTTTTTGACGTCAACCTGGCAGTCATTTAGTAACAGGCAGGATATGTTAGCAAAATTGCAGCAGTGATGGAAACTTGGCATTTGATTTTGTGCAGGTTGAGCAGAATTTGAAATTTTCATATACTCCAAAATTGGCCATATGAGTGACTGAGGTAGTGCCATCTTTGCTTTCTTTGCACAAACATTGTTTAATGCTCAAAATTCTTTGGAAATTTGGATAAAATTGTCTTCAGGCTATATGTATAAGGTTATATGATACATAAATTAATTTCTTGATTTGTCTTGGGTCCCATAGCCAAGATATCTCATTATGTGTATGCAAATATTTCAAAATAAACACAAACAAACAAACAAAAATAACAACCCCCACACTGGTCCTAAAATCCAAAATACTTCTGATCACAAGCATTTCCAATACAGTATACCCAGGCTATACTCAGTATACCACTTAAAACTCTTGGTGTTCATAGAAACCAATTTTGAACCTTTCATTTTGTTAATTCATTGAAATCTCCCATTTACAGCATGGTAGAGGATGCTACTTTATGGAAGAACTGCTTATTCCTTCTATAATTCATAGAAGGAGGAATGCTAGCCTTCTTGCCTCACCTTCTGATGACTAGCTTGGAAGACATAGATCTTCCAAACCCAAGTTTCTTCTCACATCCTTCATTCCAGGCAGGGCAAGGTGCTGACATTTTGATGTCTCTGGCAGATTAGTATTGTAACTTGTCTACCCTCTTCCACGAGGGGCAAGGGCATATAATTAAACAGGAGGAGCTGTTTAAGGGTATCAACAAAACCAAAATAAATAAAGCCCCAGATCCAGATGGATTTTCTGCTTGGTAGTATTAAGTCATACAAGGAAGAACTGGCCCCACTACTATTCTCCGTAATAAATCATGTTATGCAGAAAGGAGTAATCCCAGATTCATGGGCGAGGCCACTGTAGTTCTTGTTACTAAGCAGAATAGACAAGACCAATCTCATTAGTAAATTGTGACTATAAACCATTCGCAGAAATTCAAGCAAATAGATTGAAACAATTTTTACTAAAAGTACTACACGAAGATCAAGTTGGCTTTTTTCTAGGCAGACAGTTAAACAGAATGTGAGGACAGTTTTAAATAATAGAGATGGCAGAACAAGATCCTAATAGAGATATTGCTCTACTATTTTTGGTTGCAGAGAAAGCCTTTGATAATGTCTGCTGGAAATTTATGGGAACTATGGAGTTGGTCAGCAATTTAAGAGAGTGGTAGGCACCATTTATTCAAAACAAAGAGCTAAATTAAGAATAAGTGGTCAATTATCAAACCATATAGAGATACAAAAACATAAGTTACAGCAAACTCTTGATCATACAGAAGAATTAGTGCAGGTACACATACCAAATAAGAACCAGTAGCACCAAATCCTGTATAGACTTGTTCTCCATCTTTCTTCTGTAGCACCTTTTCCTGCCCCTTTCACTGTGTTCTGTTGTTCCTACTGATCCTGGGTGGTGTAATCTGGTAGTAAGGAGAGATGTTGACAAGTCCTTTCATGTCTGGCATCTTCAGATCTGTATATACTGTATTATTTATTTATTATTATTTCCTTTATTTGTACCCCGCCCTTCTCACCCCTGAGGGAGGGCTCAGGGCAGCCTCACAACAAGCACCATACGATGCCATCACCATCATAAAACATTCAACAAATATATTCAAACATTAAAACAGTTAATTAAAAACAATTGATTAAACATGCAAGTTAAAAACCAAATCCAAGTCTGGGTCAATTCATTGTCAAGAGTTGCCTAAGTCTTCTTTTCACTTGCTGTTATTCACTGTTCGAACGCTTGGTCCCATAGCCAAGTCTTAAGTTTCCTTCTAAAAGACAAGAGGGAAGTGGCCAGTCTGATGTCCCTGGGGAGAGGGTTCCACAGATGGGGAACCACTGCCGGAAGGCCCTGTCCCTCGTCCCCACCAATCGCGTTTGCAATAGCGGTGGGATCGAGAGCAGGGCCTCTCCAGATGATCTTAAACTTCATGATGGTTCATAACAGGAGATATGTTTGGACAGGTAGTCATGTATAAATCAAGCTTATATATAAGTTGGAGATTGGTTTGGGGGATAGCACTATGGATTCTGATACGTTGACCCATGGATAAGTCGAGGGTCATTCTGCAGAGAGGAAAAGGCACCAGTAGAATGTACTCACTCTCAGCCTCTCTCAGTCCAGTTTGTGCCCCCGGTCATTAAAATTCAAAGTGAAGAATGACCCGACGTTTGGAAAGCAATTTGATTTTGATGGCCCAGTGCTGATGTGGAACCGTCACTTCACCCCAGAGACGTGGAAGAAGTTGAAGGAACGCGGTGTCCCCTATGGATGGCGTGGCTTGCCACAAGCAGGTAACTGGCTGGGAGAGGGCAGTATGGGTTGTCAACAGAAAGGTGTAGTGAACAGGGGTTTATGTTGGATGCTTGACCTCATAGTTATTGCACGGATCCATCTCACTTTGGTCTGCAGGTGACAAATGTGACAGAGAAAAAGGAAAGCAAACTATTAGGCAGGTTTTGGGAGAGTTTATTTCTGATATATAGTAATGGATAAAAAGTTGAGACGAAAAAAATAGACAAAATAGGGTATTGGATAAAGGTTGGAATGAAGAAGGAAATGATTACGGAAGAATTTAGAGAAATAAAATTGACATGCTTCCATTGTATACAATTAGAACAATGATTTAAAAACTGGGTTAAAAATAATAAGAATGGAAGTAAGCTTAACCAATTCGAACAAATAATACAAAATGGAAGGGCTATAGAGGAGCATGAAAATTTGAAAGGAATAACTAGTGAAGTATATAAGATAATAATTGAAATAAAGGAAGGAAAAACAAAAAAATAACATCCTCAAGGAGGTCTGGGAAGAAGATTTAGGGATAAAAATAAATGAAACAGAGTGCCAACAATTATGGAGACAAAGACATTTAAAAGATTTATCAATACGGGTTAAAGAAAATTACTATAAGTTAATATGGAAATGGTACCTTACACAAGTAAGAATAGCAAATATAAATTAAAAACTACTCAAAAATTGATGGAGGGGATGGCAAGAATCAGGAAAATATATACATATGTGGTGGCAATGTAAATATGTAAATATTTTTTAGCAGAAAGTTTTTAGAGAAATAGAAGATATAATGAACATTGAAATAGAAAGAAGTCCTAGTATAGCTTTATTATCATTATATAATAATAAACAATTGAAAAAAGAGGATAAAGATGCGATAAAAAACTTATTAACAATAGCAAGACTGCTTATAGCAAGGAATTGGAAAAGAGAAATAAATATATAAATAGAAGAGTGGTACAAGGAAGTATGGAAATTGGCAATAAATGATAAGCTGACATGTATATTAAAAGTTAAAAGAGGCACATGGAAACAAAGTGACACAACCTCTGAGGATGCCTGCCACAGATGGAGGCGAAACGCCAGGAGAGAATGCTTCTAGAACATGGCCATATAGCCCGAAAAACCTACAACAACCTCATTCATTTTATTTGACCTGATTAGCTGTCCCTATCAAGTGGCTAATCTTCATAGGGAGGAATACCTTACCCTTTCAGATATGGGGAAAGGACTAAAAGTGGAAATGCTGATGTTTATGTGACTAAAGGAAATGCCCTTTCTTATTGGTGCTTGCAGTGTGTCCATTATGTTACAGGGCTTAGTTGTGCGCACTCAACTGCTGCGTGCATAGCTAAAAAAATAAATTAATTAAAAGTGGCTGATTTCTGTGAAGCAAAAGTGGTTCGGTATCTTGAAAAATGTGTACTGAGGGAGAAGAAAAAGACAGGAAAGCTTCTTTCATTTATTTTCTAATTTTTATGTTTTAAAAAACGAATGTCTTAATGGTTTTTGGTGTCACTATGTTTCAAGTGGTTTCCCCATAATCTGTACTGTCCTTTTGAAGACATAGACCTGGGGGGGGACAGGAAGTCTTTAGAAGGCTAGCATGAACATCTTGTGACATTTGCCTGAGTGAAAGGAACAGCCTGCTCCATTGTTGCTGCCGGTCTTTGGCTTCTAGGAGTTATCTCTTTTGCTTCTCCATGCCCACTCGCCTTAGCTTGACAAGCGCATTGTCTGCCCTGAATCTCTGTAGTGTGACAGGAGGAGGATCCATCTTCAGATAGAAAGAGAGTGAGGCAGTGGGGGGGGGGGGGGGGAACTGGCTCCGGAGAGTTTTCGTTTGCGGCAGAGAAGTTGTGAGTTGCCAAAGGACCCTTGAGACAGTTGCCAGTTTCTATTATTATTATTATTATTATTATTATTATTATTATTATTAGCCCTGGCTGCACAATGGGTTAAACCCTTGTGTTGGCAGGATTACTGACCAATAGGTCAGCAGTTTGAAACTGGGGAGAGCAGGCCGAGCTCCCTCTGTAAGCTCTAGCTCCCCATGCGGGGACATGAGAGAAGCCTCCCACAAGGATAGCAAAAAAGATCACTCATCTGGGCATCCCCTGGGCAACATCCTTTTAGACAGCCAATACGCTCACACCAGAAGCGACTTGCAGTTTTTCAAGTAGCTCCTGACACGAAAAAAAAATTATTATTATTATGCACTACATTTATATACCACTTTTCTCCCCCTGAAGAAACTCAAAGCAGTTTCCAACATAATAAAGGCAAGGGAAGTCCAGTACAAAGAGAGAAAAGGAAAGCATGTGTGAAAGAGAGAACAAACGTATGGAAACCTGGCAGATTTTTTTTCTCTGTTTGCAGTACTGTAGTACAAAAGGGATGATCAAACGAAGTAAGGCTTATGGTAAACATATTAGAAACAAGCCTGAAACCATTACTCAATGTTCTGAACATTTTGACTGATTCATCAGAGGTTATGATTCAGGTTTCAAACAAAAGAAGCTTCCCTCTTCCAGTGAAAGGCTGCTCCAAATTGGTGCTGAAAAAAGAAATTAGAAGTTCCTTTGCTTCATTAAGCAGAAATATTACTAAACTTGATTATATGTTATTTCTCTTTAAGTTTTCCAGTATACAGTTCATGGATTCATGCATATTTCATAGCTCTCTAGAACAGAAAGGGAGTAGAGACTCGGTTCCCTGGGACAGTGTGGGAATGAAGGATCCTTCCTACAGCCTCCACTCATCCTGCCCACCTACACTTGCAAACTTCGTTAGCTGTGTCAGAGGCAATGATCTAGGACTCCCTCTCCCACAGAAGCAGATGATACTATCAGATTATCAAATTCAGATAATTAAGTAAAGTGCTAAGTGCATTGTTCAGTCTTCTCAACACACATGCAACAGCTCTGTGTCATATGTACATATACAGTTATCACATGAGTCTAGTTGTCAGTGCACTTGCCATTTTTTATTATTCATATCTATATATGGGATACTGCTCTGGCCTATGCCTGTGTGTAATGTATTCCGTGTTCTTTGCATATGTCTGTGCCTACACCAACACCTTTTTTATTTTTCACAATCTCCTTCACTCATCTAAAGCAGAGGCGGGCAATGTGTTTTGGCCCAGCAGCAAAATTTAATTTGGAAATGTGGTACCATCCCTGTATTTGTGGGGAACGCGTCCAAAAATACGCTTTCCCCATGCACAGCAGAAACCATGTTTAGACTGTATTTGATCTAGAAGCATGCCATAGCATGACACTGGAAGGCCTAGAGAAGCCCATAAACACTTGTGGGGGCAGGGGAGACTATTTTGGAGCGTAGGTAAGTGAAACCATGGATATTAAATCCATGGATAATAGGGTTGGACTTTCCTCTGAAATACATCTATATCACCTGGTATTCACTGGCACTCTCCCATCCATGTACTAAACAGGATAGACCTTACTTGTTTCCAGACAGAGCCTGGTGTCTTTCAATTATTTAGACTTAAATGCTTTTAATTTCTTTTTATCTCCAGTTACTATATCCCAGTGGTTGTCACTGATAATTCATTAGGGATGCAGATAGTGCTGGAGAAAGAAAGTGAGGATGTTGCTGAAGATGTTCAAGGGCATGGTGTTGGCATAATGAAAATCACGCATAGTTCAGGTTTTATCAGTCCACACACTGTCTTGCCAAAGAAAGAAAATATGCCACGCAGATGATCAGTAAAGAACAAGTAGTTTAGTCTTTGTAATGCAGAGCAATATATATATACAATCATGTGGACAGTTGCATTGACTCACACGATCTCCTCTGAGAGAGATTCAAATGATCTTTCAGTGTCCGTGTGGAAGATCTCCTTCCAGCAGTTCATGAAGCAAGAACTGTCTCTTTCTCCTGCACAGCTCAAGCCTAAAAATGTAACTGTTGCCAAAACTCCCAGACTCGACTTGCTCCCCGGGCGTTTCCCAACCAATCAGCTTTGTGCCTTGCATTTTCAGTTAACACACTCACCAACAGATTTCTTACATCTCCAATACTTGGATAGGGAACCTCTGCAAACCATAATATTGCCCTGTCCCAAAAATGTAGTAAAGGCCACAACTTTAGACCCAAGACTGGGACCCAAGAACTGGATGACTATGCTTTGAGTCTCCTTTGGAGAGAAAAAGTGGAGTATAAATAAATAAACATAATAACAACTATGCATTCTTCACCACCCAAGGAAACAATAGGCTACTGTTTCTAGAATAGCAGACTGGGCCTTAGCCACAGCTGCCAGTACACTTTCCATTTTTATTGTATTTCCTGTTTGTTCAGAATGCAAAAAGTATTTAATAAAGTACTAAACTGTTTGTGTCTTCAAATTGCCGGTTGATTTATGGCAATTTCATGAATTTTGTAGAATTTTCTTAGGCAAACACACACAGTTTATTTCCACCCTGTCAGGTGTCCTTGGATTTCTTAAAGTGAAGAAGACAAGATGCTATTTCAAGTAGATGAGTTTGGAATTTCTGTTTCCTTGGAAACTCTGCTAGGATTGCAGGACAATGCACCATATCATTATAATTAACCTGAACATTGCCCGTTCTGTCCTCTTCTGGGTTCCTTAGTGCAAAGGGCATTCTTAATCACAGGTCTGTGGGTTCTCCTGCCATTTATATGAATGTTTGTGTTGTTTTCCATGCCTGTCTCCTACCGACCGTTTGTTTTGTTCTGCAGTAATTTCCTCCACGTTGGAGCTTCTCAAAAATGCTGCCAACAGCAGGCTGTTCAATGAGACCACCTCCCCAGACGGCTGCGTCCGCTGCGCTGTGGTTGGGAACGGGGGAATTCTGAATGGATCCCACCAAGGCAAGGAGATAGATGCTCATGACTTTGTCTTCAGGTATAATGAGGTTGGCAATCTCCCTCTCTTGGAAGGGGCACCAGGCCCAATTTGGGATGGTCATGGGGCGGGTGGTGGTGGTGGTGGTGGTGTAGGATTCCCCAGGGAGAGGGCTGAAGGATTCCTCCAGTCTGAAGCTTTCCAGATTTAGAAGCTCTGAACCACCAATCTACTTATTCCTTGGAGCTAATGGGCACGTGTTTCTCATAGCCCCTGTCCTTTTACTTTTTGTCACCATGCAGGCTTAATGGGGCAGTGATCAAGGGCTTTGAGGCTGATGTTGGAACAAAGACTTCCTTCTATGGTTTCACAGTAAACACCATGAAGAATTCCCTCATTGCTTACGCAGAGTATGGCTTCACCCAAATCCCACAGGCTAAGGTAAATGCATCACTGCAAGACATATTGTTTGGTTTTGCTCTTTGTTAACATATACGGCTTCAGTCTGTAAGAAGTGTAAGTAGACCAAGAGCTTTATGTGAGGCCATATCTCAAGTGCTCTTTGATCTTCACTAAATTGAAGATTCCATCTGAAAAGGAGATTCCACTTGAACATTAGGAAGAACTTCCTGACTGTGAGAGCTGTTCAGTAGTGGAACTCTCTGCCCCGGAGTGTGGTGGAGGCTCCTTCCTTGGAGGCTTTTAAACAGAGGCTGGATAGTCTGTCGGGGGTGCTTTGAGTGCAATTTTCTTGCTTCTTGACAGGGGGTTGGACTGAATGGCCCATGAGGTCTCTTCCAACCCTATGATTCTGTGATTCTATGAAATTGAGTTCATAGTGGTAGGCTTGGAGAAAACATCTGCCTGAGAAATTGGAGGAGAAGAAAGGTGATAGAAATAAATATGTAGCAATGCAGCCTGATACAGACAATGCTTAAGGAATACATTCACATTCTTGTTTCCCTTGTTACTTTATTGTTATCTAATAGTCATAAATGCTAGTAAACACCCATCATGGATACATGAGGTAAACGTTTTCCAAGAGGAAGAGATCCAAAGGCTTTCAGGAGCACAAAATGCTTCCTACACGAGAAGACACTCAGAAAAGAGGCAAATGAGGCCTCAGCACCTTCAATAACCACTTCATACAGACTGTTATTGGGTTGGAGTCGATCAGAAAACCATATAGAGTATCTGCTTGTTACCAAGAGGTCACTTTGTTATAAGTGCCTTGAATGCAATTTTCCTGCTTCTTGGCAGGGAATTGGACTGGATGGCCCATGAGGTCTCTTCCAACTCTATGATTCTGTGATTCTATGTTTTTGTTGCAGGCCTTATGTTATGAATCTTGTTCTTTTTTGTGTTTTACATTCTGTTTTGTCTTGGCTTCAGGACATACGGTACATTTTCATTCCGTCAGATAAACGAGATTACCTAATGCTGAAATCTGCCCTCCTGGGCATCCCTGTTCCAGAGGGCTATGACAAAGGTGACAAGTAAGTGTTCCCCTTCATTTGCTTCTCTTTCCTGCCACTACTGTAACCATTATTGGCCTTTTTCATTATTGTTAATGTACTCATATTGACCTGTGGATAATTAACACAGGTTTTTTTGGATTGATTTTTTTCATTTTTTTAGACTTACATATGAGAATATATGTTGCACTTTATTACTTTAAATATGCTTTGAAATTCTAAAATAATCAAAGTTCCTCAAGAATGACACCACTCCAGCAAAATTTCAGAAAGATGAACAAATATCATTCCTTAGACTAGGGGTTCTCAAACTTTTTCAGCTGCGGAGCCCTTTCTGAAGCAAAAGTTTCTTGTAGACCCCTAAGAAATGTTTATATATTATAAAAAAAATCTTCAATCAGCAGGGAAACAGTAAATTACATTCTGGTGCAATTTTTAACAACTAGAGTGCCAGGGGCAGCTATTTTGCCCTGGAAGGCCATTGTGGCTGGGTTTACGAAGTTTGTATGCCAGCGGACAAGAGCAGGTGATGAAATGGGACCTGAGCTGTATTTCTCATTTCTTTCTTCCATTGAAATATGCACACACACATACACGCACAGGCTCATGGAAAAGACACACAGAGAAATCAGTTTATCATCATCTTGCTCACACAGTTTATCTGCAGATACCTGTGGCACATAGTACACGAAGGGGACCATTGTGCATGAAGGGAACTAGACCTGCCCATCACCATTTTCATTGCAATCAAAATCTGCCAAAATGCTGGCAAGAGGCCACTTCGTGCACGTGTGTGTATGTTCACTTGTGCAAGTGTTGCATTTGGAGATAGTTCTCCCCACTTGCCATCTCTACCAACATCACAGTCTTGATGGGATGGCAAAAATGTAGTTCACAGGGTGAGGAATAAATTCATCACCATTAGAGTGTTTTGTACCTGCATGTAGCTCAATCGCAGGCATCCAAAAATGGAAGTCACCCACTTGTGTGTGAGCTCTACCAGTGTTCAGGACAATTTCTTCCCCCAATGTACCAGAGACTAATATAATTACGTGTGTCCATTGACTACAATTTTATTCTTTCTTTCCTGGAAACTTTCCAAGGACTGGCAACAGATAGCCAGGGTACTGGCACTCCTTTATGGACTGCCACTTTGAGTTGCACTGCCCCAGAAAGTCTCATGTGGATTTTCTGTCCTGGAATGTGAAAGATTTTCTGCCCTGGAAGTTTAGACTGTGCTTTGCAAACCACACACATCTCAATATATGACAAATGGGGCCATTGTTCACTTGACTTGTTCAGTTCTTTTCCCTGTTGTGAGGCCAGCTGAGAGCTGTATAATGGCTGATATTCTATGAAGCTGTTTCTATTTTCTTTCCACAGGCCACAGAAATACTTTGGATCTAATACATCTGCAGAAAAGTTCAAGTTGCTTCACCCAGAATTCATGTATTATCTGACAGAAAGGTAACGCTTTGAGCCTTGAACATGGCAACAGAGCCTGTTGTTGGCATCCGTTGAAGATGTGACTCAGTAGCCACATAAGTACTAATTGTATTTTTCATATTGGTGGGCAGGAGTGGGAGGATGAGGAGGAAGGATTCATTTCCTATTCTTTGAATTCTGGAAACCTGTTCTATTAACTAAGTCTCCCCACCAGACGTCATATCCTGAGAGATTTTGTAAAACTCATACAAATGGGCAGTAGTCATACCATTCTGCCTTGTCACACTTCCTTCAAGCACAATGAAAGAAGAACCTGCTTCAAAGCCCACCTACCTCAGAAGTGTAGAGAGCTAGCATATCCTATGCGTAGCCCAACAGTTAGACATCTTCTGCTTGCCGAATTTTATGGTTTATTTTTTACACCTGGCTCAGATGGTGTAGTAGTCTGTTTTTCCTGATTTCTGACAAAATATTTCTTTCCCATTTATAGATTCTTAAAATCAGAAATAATAAACTCTCAGTTTGGGCATCTCTACATGCCCAGCACCGGAGCGATTATGCTTTTAACAGCTCTGCATACATGTGATCAGGTAAGACTCCTTCTGATCTTTCCCTGATTATTTGGTAACACAAGATAGAAATTTAAAGCTATTTGTTTGTTGTTGTTCATTCGTTCAGTCGTCTCCGACTCTTCGTGACCTCATGGACCAGCCCACGCCAGAGCTCCCTGTCGGCCGTCACCACCCCCAGCTCCTTCAAGGTCAGTCCAGTCACTTCAAGGATGCCATCCATCCATCTTGCCCTTGGTCGGCCCCTCTTCCTTTTACCTTCTACTTTCCCCAGCATATTTCAAAAGCTATTTGAAAGGGTGCAAAATGACTCCCACTCCCCCCCTCTCAGTACATTAGTATCCTGCTAGTGACTTATATACCAGATAAGTGTAGGTTACATGTGTTTCAATTTCTAGAGAACATGTCATGCTCAAAAAGCACTGTGTCCATTTTCCCCATAGCAAGGTGTAGGACCAGCATGGCCCTCCTGTTGGGTATAGTGAGACTCTGCCCCTGACACTAGAGCACCAGAAGGAGTAACCATGCCCTGCCTGTCACTGCTGCTTCAGAGGTTCTGTGGGGTCTTTCCTCAAAGCATCAGTGAGGGTGATCTAGGACACTGCTGACACAAGTGGCCTCTCAGAGCATGTTCTTCTGTGCAGAAATTCCTAGTTCTGAGGAAAGGCCTGTCAGAAAAAAGATGGTTCTTTGTGGCTAATGCTTCTCTCCATTGAGCCCACACATTCTCCATCTTGATTTCAGAGATGGGAGCAGTACAATGGCAACAGCACTCATGGGCACGAGGGCTGGTCTTCTCCCACTTCAGGCAGCAGGGAAGCTTGGGCCATTACATAAGCAGAAGTTCTCAGATCAAGTGACAAGTGTGCATTTTGCAAGTAAAATGTACAAGTTCAGATCATACAGAACTTGTGGATGGAGAAATTTGTCACCCAGAAGCTTGAGCCACTCTGCCATCTCTTTAAGCATAAAGGGATTTTGAATGAGATGATGCAGTGGGGTGCATGCCCATGTCCCTCTTTCACTCTTGCTTTTACCACTCTTTTTCTTATTTCCTTAGGTTAGTGCCTTTGGCTTCATCACGGATAATTACAGGACATTTTCAGATCATTACTATGAATTTGAGAAGAAGCCCTTGGTCTTCTATGCCAACCATGATATGCTCTTAGAGGCTGAGCTTTGGAAGAAATTACACCAAGCCGGCATCATGAAGCTGTATCAGCGGTGAAGGCAGTGTGTGCCATGGACAAGGAAGGGGCTGAGCAGCTCCTCCCAGTTCTCCCTGTGTGACCAATTTGGTGATCCACAGGAGACCTTCTTTTGCTTTCATGGGGAGGGAGGACAGAGCTGATAACCTGCAAGTACCAATTAGGCATGAGGGACTACCAGCTGGTTAATCCACAGAAAATATTCTCAAGGGCAATACACATATCAATCCATACTAGATGGGGAGCCCATCCAGTGTGAGTATCCGGGGTAGAGAGAAGATGCTACCACAAGAGTCGGTTGGCAGGAAAATGGATAAAAACGTTTGCTAACAGCTCTGCTATTCACGTACTTTCAGTGATGACTTTGTGGGGTATTCAGTTGCAGTTTTGCCAGGACACAAAAGGAGTTATATTTTTGAGGTGTCATGCAGTATGAGTGTAACAGGGTTTTGTTTTGTTTTTTGCATTTTAGCCTCCTCTCTGATGGAGATCATTGGCAAAAGGGGACAAAGAGTTTGGAACATACTGTATTTGCCATGATCTTGATGTTGCACCCCTGCTGAGGACCACAAAACAGTTCTCAGAAAAGGCAATAATACACTAGAGCAATTGTCTGCTCAGACCTACTGTACTCATAATGACTCTCTTTCAAAACAGTTCTCTATAGCAGGACCCCAAGGAATACAGTGTTATTGCAGAGGAACAAGTTCTGGTACTATGAAAGAGGAATGAAAAATTAACTATTGAAGGAATAGAGTTTTCCAGCAGGAATGGTAGATTTTCCATGACTTTTTGAAATAGGAGTGCCACTCCATTTTTTTGCAGCAATAGCCATTGCAAGAAAAAAAGGGGAAAAGTGGGTTCTTTCCCTTTTTAAACAAATCCTGCACTCCCCGTACACATTGTTTATAAAGAGAAATGCATTTCCAGGATGCTCTCAGAAGTGCAGTTATCCTTGTAAACAAGGTACACAGAGAGCACATGACTCATCAGTAAGGGAAAAGGGTACTCTCCTCTGTGACCACCACTGCACAATATATTCAACAGGGTCAGGGACACAGACCTGGGATGGGAGTGAAACAATGGGAAATGTGAGTGCCTTACCTCTTTTAAAAGGTAATGATACCACTTCTGTGTTAATGATGTCCAGATACCCCTCTGGCATCAATTTCATGATGCCTAGACTGGTACAGACTCCTTTCTTTACCCCCAACTTGATGTTATAAAGCTCTTGCTACAACATGTGAAAATACCTCCTTGGCTGACTGAAGATTAGGGTTGGACAGCTATTGATTTATTTTGCAAAAGATCACCAACAATGGACCAACAGCCTTTTGCATCTTGCAGGAAGAAGAATCCACCTGTAGCTTATTCATTGCCAATCCTAGTTTTGCCTCTTTTCTGATGTACCAAACATGGTTCAGTTTCCCATCTTTATTCAACTACGGAGAGTCCACCAGTGCTGTGTGGATGCTCTTCCTCCCAGATCCTTAGGAAAGATACTGCATTAATATGCAGAAGGGATCCCCTCCATGAATAAGGCAGATACTGATGGACTTCTGATTAGCTGCTGCAGGGCTGTGTGCATACCCAACCATTAAATATGGAAAATTCTCCCAAAAAGTTGAATTCAGTATGTTTGGTAATGTTCCCATGATCTGCATTTATCTTTGGGCAAGCTCAGGAGCGTACTGCAAATACCACATTGGAAGCATTGCTTCACAAAGAATGGCTAATGGCTCATCTAATAACCAGTCCTTTTAAATGTAAATTAAGATATGAAGCATGGTACATAATGTAGTAAGTTTCTCTTCATGAGCCCACTGCTCATGCATCCATCAGTTTCTTTCTGATTGAGATTTCCTCAGGTAATGTCAAGATGTCCTAGCATGACGTTTTTGGAAGGTGGCAAAAGGCATCAGGTAATAAAAGGTGGCAGAAGAATATGGCAACACTACATGCCTATGCAAAACACAACTCCAGGAAACCTTTTACTGCCCACTGAACTGAACCTAATTGCTCAGGCTCAGTCAAGATGCCAAAGAAAGCTCTCTGTCTGAAATGTTTCCATTTGCTTCAGAAGGGAAAACCAACTTGCTCCAGCCATGCCAGTTCTCATCCTTTCTTTAAGACTTCAAGAGTTTTGATTGTTTTGGCTATGAGAGTTTTTCTTGTCTTTTGTATCATTGTGTTTCTTCTCAAAAAGTGTGTGAATTTTTTGTTGGATTTGAATGTGCAGGTTTTATTTTATGGATAAGTCCAATCAAATGTGTTAAGTCTTTAAGGAATCAGAGGTCTTGGGACTTTTTCTACAGCAATCTAACTTGACTACTTTGGCTCTTTAATACTATGTGTATATATATTGTCGAAGGCTTTCATGGCTGGAATTACTGGGTTGTTATAGATTTTTTGGGCTGTATGGCCATGTTCTAGAAGCATTCTCTCCTGACATTTCACCTGCATCTATGGTAGGCATCCTCAGAACTTGTGAGGTCACAACCTCTGAGGATGTCTGCCATAGATGCAGGCGAAACATCAGGAGAGAATGCTTTTAGTATATGGCCATATAGCCTGAAAAACCCTTCAACAACCCTATGTGTATATAGTATCAAAACAATAACATGACTTTCTCTGTCAAGGTTAATCATCTATGTCTCCTAACAAAGCTATGTGTGCACAAGCAACACATTTTCCTTAGTCATACTGTGTGCTTGTGCCCTCAAGTCACCTGCTGATTTACAACAATCCTATGAATTTCATAATTTTCTTAGGCATTCAATACTCAAGAGGTGGCTTGCTAGTGCTTGCTGTCTTCTGAAATACAGCCTACAACTTCCAAGATCAGATGGGATCTGGTAACTTCAGCAGATTTAAGTGCTGTTCCCACCAATGTTGTTTTTCTTCAATTGTTAGACACCATTGATTGTAAGATGCACCACCACCAACAAAAATGCATAAGATATACTTGTGATTGTTGAATGCTTTCATGACCGGAATTGTTGGGTAACACTGGGAACCACCATGTCAGACTACACAGAGAGGCCATTGAAGTCTATAAGCATGTGGACAATTTCAACAGAAAGGAGGAAACCATGAAAATGAACAAAATCTGGCTACCAGTATTTAAAAAATCAGGACACTTAATAAAGAGCAACACTAAAAAACGGGGGAAGTCCAGACAAAAACAATCAGGGTCAGCTAACGACTCCCAACAAAGGACTCCCCCAGGCAGGAAGCAGCCATGTTTTGAAGCTGCAAGGCCATTAAATGCTAATCAAGTTGGCCAATTGCAACATTGACACTTGCCTCAAGCAGACAATAATTCTTTCTCCCATCCTGTACATTATTCCACAGATATATAAACCTCACTTGCCTAGTTTCCAATTCCGATTCCTCCACCTCTGAGGATGTCTGCCATAGAGGTGGGTGAAACGTCAGGAGAGAATGCTTCTGGAACATGGCCATACAGCCCAGAAAACTCACAGCAACCTATACTTGTGATTCTAAGATGCACCCCATTTTTAGAGATGTTTATATAGGAAAAGTGTATTTCAGAATCGAAGAAATACACACTATTCCAGAATTATTGACACCAGTTTCTTTACACGGATTATCCATTTGCCAACAGATTAACAGTTTTTACTATGTAGACACAACTCTTATGTCAAGTATTTTGCTAATAGGGGAAAAGTGATTAGGTCATTCAAGAACAGAAGGGCTGCCTGGCTCTTAGCATCCAAAAAAAAGGACTGCAGGCCTTGGAAATGGAATCACTTAATCAACAAACAAGCGTCAGAGGTGACAAGTGCTCAAAGCCTCAAGAAGAGTTTTGAAAAATGTGGAGGAGAGGTGGTGTGACCTTTTGACTCGTGTACCTGAAGCACCGGGTAAAATTCCCTCTCAAGCTAATTAAACCCCAATTGGCCACCAACAAGCAAAGGCAGCCACACACATAACCTTGCAGACCTCAAGGCAGGTGTTGGTAAGATAATTAAATGTAAACAGCAACCCGGAGATCAGTGGCAGGTCAGTTTTGTTCTGCAGGAAAGTGGTAGTGGCTACTGACAGACGGAGAGTTGCGGGTGCACAATGAGGAAATGGGGAGTGTAATCCGAAACATTTTCCCACTTTGTATAATTGCATAAATGTTGAATGACCTCTTCTCCTTTGTGTGTTCCTTTTGTTGTGTGGGTGTGAGGCAGCAGGGGGGAGAAAATGCACCCTTTTCTTCCCTATGGCTAAAATTAAAGGACGAGATAGTGCATGTAAAGGAAGGAGCAGCCAGTGAGGAGAGTGCCAAGAGGTCTGAACCATTTGTGGGAATGGATGGGAACCTGCTGTTAAGTGACATCAAGATGCATGATGTGTATACCCAAAGATGATGAGATCATGCCCTATATTTTCCCTCTAAAAAATAACCATGCTCCCCAAGAGTGAAGTGGGTACCTGTATTTCACATCCATAGCACTTTAAACTCCAGTAAGTGGTATTACTCTGTTCGGTGGCATCTTGAGATTTGCAGTTCAATGAACTCCTTTGAACTTTTTAGCACTATGGTACAGCTCTAACAGAAAACTTCAAATGCATCAGAAATTGCATATCCCAGGTTTCCAGAGGATGAAGTCATGGCTGTTAAAATGCTATCAAAGCATTATAACTGTAAGGTGTCAGTACACTCTTAGACCAACACTGTTGCTTCCCCCTCCCCTCCATCCTCCATTTAACAGTTAAAGGCAAGAGCAAGTGTTCCCTAAATGTGTTCAGAAGCCATCAAAATGCTTTTTAAGAGCACACCTGCTAAGAGGCTGAGCTGCAAAGAGGAATTTCCTGGTAGAATGCTTATCTCTGCTACAAATATACTAATCCCACAGGGAAACCACAGTCTATCATCCTTTCCACCTTGGCCCCTTCTACGCTGCCATATAATCCCTATCAGAGTTTCTCAACCTGAGGGTCAAGACCCCTGGGGGAGGGGGGTCGTGAGGGAGTGTCAGAAGGGTCGCCAAAGACTATCAGTAAACACAGTATTTTCTGTTGGTCATGGGAGTTCGGTGTGGGAAGTTTGGCCCAATTCTATCGTTGGTGAGGTTCAAAATGCTCTGATTGTAGGTGAACTATAAATCCTATCAATTGCAACTCCAAATGTCAAGGTCTATCTTCCCCAAACTCCACCAGTGTTCAGATTTGGGCACATTGAGTATTGTGCCAAGTTTGATCCAGATCCATTTTTGTTTGAGTCCACAGTGCTCTCTGGATGTAGGTGAACTACAACTCCAAAACTCAATGTCAATGCCCACCAAACTCTTCTAATATTTTCTCATGGTGGTGGCCCAAGTTTGGCCCAATTCCATCGTTGGTGGAGTTCAGAATGCTCTTTGATTGTAGGTGAACTGTAAATTCCAGCAACTAAATCTCCCAAATGACAAAACCAACCCCCCCTCCCCAACCCCACTAGTATTCAAATTTGGGAATATTGGGTATTTGTGCCAAATTTGGTCCAGTGAATGAAAATACATCCTGCATATCGGATATGTACATTATGATTCCTAACGAAATTACAGTTATGAAGTAGCAACGGAAACAATGTTATGGTTGGGGATCACCACAACATGAGGAACTGTATTAAGGGGTCACGGCATTAGGGAGATTGAGAAACACTGATCCATATCAAAGCTGATAATCCAGATTATCTGCTTTGAATGGGATTAAATGTGTCTACACTGCAATCTAATCCAGTTCAAAGCAGATAATCTAGATTTTATGTGGCAGTGTAGAAGGGGCTCTAGTCTTGACAGGGTGGTGATAATTTCTCCAGTGGTAAGGATTTCTAGGGTACCATGAAACAACCTGAAGCTTGAGCTTGCCTCCAGTTCCTACAAAATTCTGTGTTGGAGTGCAAAATATTTTGCAGGTCTTGAGTGGGCAATTAGGCCCCTCCAACACTGTTTCTATATTTTAGGATCTGATCCTAGGTTATCTGCTTTGTACTGGATTATATGAGTCTCTACTGCCTGATAATCTGGGATCAGCAGTATAGAAGGAGCCTTAGTCTGACTAACCATAAATAGATGTCCTGATGGAAAAATAATATGATAGGTCTAGGATATAGGGTTCCTCCCTGATACTTGGGAGATAAACCCATGGAAAATTTAAAGTTTCCACCTCATGCTTACTAGGGAATCATCTTCAGTAATTTACCATACCCTTGATATACATTAGTGTAAGCACTTCTACAGACACCATGTACGGAGGTCTCCATTGCCTCCTTGTGCAACATTTTTCTCTGGTTGTCAGATGGTGCAGAGAGGGCTCTTTCTACACTGCCAGCTGTTACCTGCCCAGAAAACCTGCCCGGGTGCCCCAGTGAATTGGCTGCATGTGTCTGATGATATCCTGACCATTGTGCAGCCTTTTTACCTTTCTCATGAAATCACCAGTCTATCTGCTCACAGATCCAACTACTACATTCTTTGCCATCCAATTCTTCTGCGATGCTAATAAAATGAGCATTTTTGTTCTCGCGCGAGTACAAATGTGGGTGAGTGAACAGAAGGGACACCTACATAGATCTGTCTGCATCTGGGATGTTCTTGTGTGGGGATGGCACACCTACAGGATTTGTTCTGAGTGCCTACACTTCAAAAATCTACCCCTTGTGCAAATTGTTTCTCCTTTTGTGTGTCAACAGAACTACTGGAATAGTGTTTCAGTGTTTTTTATATTAGCTCTTAGAAACCCTCACCACTGGTTAAGCTGCATGGTTTCTGGGAGAAGTCTAAAACACCTGGAAAAACAAGGCTTGGGAACCCTGCACTGCAATGTGGGGGGATAATTGTTTCTACTCCAAGTTATTTTCTCTCTTTTCCCCTCCTACTGCCCTCTACTAATTCATATATGTATACCATAGTGAAAGTAGTGGCAATTTTATTGATTTTTTAAAAACCTGGGTTTACTTAATATGCAGGCATTCTTTTAGTGGCGCACCAGCACTGTACCTATCCAGTTAAAGGTGGTGATGGTGATAATAGTGCAATCTAAGGTAAGAACATCTAATAATCTCTTGCAGTATCTCCATTGCTATCATGTTCTGAAGGTATTGGTCATCTAAGGTTAGAATAACACAGTTCCTTCTCTCCAGACTGGAATCTAAAGAATTGGCATATATAGATACATTTCAGTTAACAAAGCAAAGATGCATTACTTTAAATAACAAAAATAACATGGAAAGAATAAAGTTCCTATACCCAAGACACAAATTGAGATAAGTTCAACATACTTCAGGACATTTTTTAAATTAAAAAGTGTCCAGAGGACAACTAAAATGATCGAGGGTCTGGAGAACAAACCCTATGAGGAGTGGCTTAAAGAGCTGGGCACAACTGGTGAGGCATGCTTATCTACTCTTATCTTTTCTCTGTTCTTCTGGTCCCTGCACGCTCAGTAAGGAAGGGATTCTTGAAGGGGCTGCTGTTTATCTTCCCTGTTGCAAGTAAACATACCCAGCTCCCAGCTACAATAAGATCAGCTACATTAGGTCCCGTTTTCTCCAGATAAAGCTTTATTGAATTGTTTACATCAGATAGACAGCTGCAATCCATAACAAAGGCCTGTTTCTCCAGCCCTCATTCTCTATTTCCCCATGCCACCACTGCTAAAAAAAACTTCCACCTATGCTAGACAGAGGAGGCAAAAGGGTTGCTGGAAAGATATAAAAGCACATTATCAAAAGTAACTCTATCACCAAAGACTTTTTAAACTGAGATATGTCTGTATTACAAACACCCCAGCATACAGCATTGTTCCAGTCCCAGCCCACAGATTACATTCCACATCACACTTGCAATGACAGCAATCATGTCCTGCTTTTATGTGTTCTTCTAACGTATGATGTGCCGACTAATGCAACTCAGCTGACAGTTGAGAGTAGGCACAAAAGCTGATGACAGATGACTGGGAAAGAATAACCGAGGTGAGAGCAGAAGGAACCGAACGGGAAGTGTGAGGTGGCAGGGACAGACTATGCTTCTTCTGCATAAATGTTCAATGGTGTGACAGGAAGGCTTGAAGGCAGGACCAGAACGCAGCTAGTAAGCAAGAGCTAGGACAAGGGGAACATGGTCAGCTCTGTATAAGGGATGAATGTTTGGATAGTCCTGATTAGCAAAACACAACATACCATACCTGCACTGAATTGTCTTCCAAAGTTTTAAGCAGATGGCACATAATTTCACCATGTTGTTGCCAACACACTAACACAAATCTTCTGATAAGTACAGGAAAATGAGAGCCACCTCCCAAAGCTGGAAAAGTTACATTTTTGGATTGTAGCTCCCAGAAGCGTATCCTCCAAACCAACACAACAGATGACACTAAGTTGATATAATGCTTGGGGGCCCCAGTGGTGATTTTTCTAAGCTTGGATGAGGAAGTATACCTTATTTCCTTATGCAAATGCTTTAAATCAGTCATCTCACAGCCCTTTTCTCTTCTCAGCACAGGCAAACGAGCCCACAAATCCCAAGCCCCTTCTATGACCATTTCTCTTAAACTTTCTTTTAATTTTCCTGGCACTTACTGAGGCTAAAGACCAAGTGGTGTGCTTGCAAACCAGAAGAGTGCCAATGTTTTCTCAATCTTCAAAAAGGACCGGGGGGGGGGGGGGGGGGGGGGGGGGGGGGAGAGGGACTGGACATCTATCAACACAAACTCCATTGCAGGAGCAAGATGTCCCACTAAAAAATGCACTGCCTTGTTTCAGATGACAGGACTTATTATCCTGGAAAATGCAACACATCACAGGGCACTACATTATGGCCTTGTAATACGTTGCCCCCAAACTCTTGAGAAAGCAAAAGCTGTAACCTCTTTCCTTTAAGACAAGTTTCAATCAATTGCAAGGTTGTCAGACACGTCACCATGTCACCTCACGCTGTGAGCAACACCTCCCACCTTACAAAGTGTTTCTAGCCAAATTACAAGGTTATAGACTTTTCTTACTTTTTGAAAACGAGCCTGTCACAACGTTCTGTTAAGACTCTGGACAGTGGATAAAATAACTAGTAGTTGCAGATTAATACGATTGACAAGATGAAATAAACTGTGTAATAGGTTAGAAGTTATGCATAACATTATGCTGTATAAATAACAAAGCTATTCTTTAACATCATACCACTTTAGTTTACCTTGTGTAGAGGTCTCACAGCCTCAGTCAAAGGCTGAGTAATTTCTCAACTTCCTCTTTGTAGCCTTTATCTTATGTTCAGCTGCCACTGAATGTGGACCAATTTATTTATCATGTCAGAAGTGAATTGAGGGTAGTTAAAATGTATTTAAAACAAAAAGTTAAAAACTTGGCATAAGGCTAAATGTCCTTTGACCAGTAGCTGGACACTTGGGAGTGCCTCTGGTTTTGCTTTAAGAGTCCTCCATTGTGCATGTGGCAGGGCTCAGGCTGCATTGTCATATCATAGTGGTCTGTGGTTTGCTCTCCTCCACACTCACATATTGTGGACTCCACTTTGCAGCCCCATTTCTTAAGGTTGGTTCTGCATCTCATGGTGCCAAAGTGCAGTCTGTTCAGCACCTTCCTGACCAACTGAATCAGCACAACTTATCTAAATGTGATCTCAACAACTGATCAATGCATTCTGCTTTACTTGGGAATATGAATAAACTTCAAGCCCAACACAAACCTGGCTTATGCTTAATGGGAGTTTTCAAGTTATTTTGCCAGGATAATTATCAGGGCCCTTTCATTAAAACATGTTTGAGCAAATATAACTTCCAATTTTCCTCATTTTCAATACCAACTAGGGCTGGTGGGAGTTATATTCACAAATCACTTGGCGCCACCTGCAATTTCAACCATAGCTTTCGAAAATGTTATTTGTCACTCACTACTCATGAACGCAGGAGATATATTCCCAGACTTACCAATGGTAGTGAAAGCCATGAAACTTAATTAACCCTACTGAGTATTCTGGTGGAAGCATCGCATAGCCACACTGGATGACCTTGAAGATGCCTACAGGTGGCATTTCATTAGATGAAAGTAAACGAACCTGTAGGTACTGGTCCTATGAATTCAGGGGCCAACCTGTAATTATGAGTGGAATCCTATGCACTTATGGCTAAAAATCCTCTAATAAGGTCTAATAACAGGCCTAAGGCACTTGTACTAGTCTGACCCTTCAAGTGTAAGAGAATATTCATTATGATAATAACCAGTGGAAGTGATCCAATGACATTCAAAGTGCTAAATGGCAGGGGGCTGTGGTCTGTGGGGCAAGCCTCCTTTATGCCCCACCAATGGAAGCAATACAATTTGTCAGAGTCTCTGAGAGGGCTGGAGAGTGCTGTCCCCTTAGATCACGACCAACACCATGTGATGTGATTTTAGTAAGCGTTTTAAGGTTTGATATGTTTTTAATGATTGTTTTCATATATGTTTATTTTATTATGTATGTATGTTTACATGGCATCTAATCGTTGCCTACATATGTAAGCCACCTTAAGTCCCCTACGGGGTTGACAAACACAGGGTATAAATAAAATAAAATAATACTGGCTTAATTGTAGTAACAAGTCAGAGACATTGGTCAAGATATTTTAATCCAAATTTGTACTGTTTTAAATTGTAAAATGTTCTTATATACATAAGAAAGCAAATGGATGTAGAAGACCAACATCTCATTGGTTCTACTGTGTCTCATATTGAAAACAAACCCTAAAAAATCATATTTTTTAAAAGAAACCCTGCCTGCTGAAATAAAAGACCGCACATTTTTATTACTTTGCTTTATTGTTAAATCCAGTTGAGAAACTGACTTGGAATTGCTCCATACTTGCATGTCCTTCTGGTTAAAATGAACACCTAAAAAGGGAGAAAGATGGGGGGGGGGGGCAGTTGAATGTCAAATAAAGGGAGTTGAAGAGTGACCAAAATTCCAAAAACAGTATTTTAACATTTTAAAGAAGCCATGAATTCAAAGTATACCATTTAGGTTGTTCAGGAAACGATAAACATTTCTAAAGAAACCCAGGAGTAACAGTCTTTTCTTTTCTTTTCTTAGCACCTCGGTGGTGTAAGAAACTGGAATATAGTTTCCAAAATGAAAATGTTACCAGACAGTATCTCTGCTATACTACAAATCATGTTTCACAATTCTGACTGACAGCCTAGTTTCATGTGCTGTCAAGATTGGGGTGGCTCATGTGGTCAGTCAGTTGGACCTAGAGGCCTACTTCCCCCATGAAAAAAAGAGCCCCCTCCCAACCAAAATACAAACAATGGGCACTCAAAGTCAACTAGCTGTATGTTCCTTCCTTACTAGACCTCAACAATGAAGAACATCAGTCCTGATGGCTCAAAGGCAGCCTTCCTCAACACAGGCCCCTCCAGATAAAAAAAGGGTCAGGTTTCAGACTACATGGCTCGTCATCCTTGATCACTGGCCAGATTGTCCAGGATTGGTGGGAGCTGGAACCCACCATCACCTGAAGGGCCATTGCTTGACTATCCGTGGATTTAACAAGCAGAGGACAGAGCTATCACTTATGAATCACTAGAAGAAAACCAAGCCTCTCCATAGCAAACAGATGGGACCTGGAGGGCCAAGCACCCCCTACTCCTAGGCTCTTTATATAATCGAAGCCTCAAAATTGGATTACAAAATGGATTTGATTGGAATGAAATGAATCCTTTTCTGCTATTTCATGTATTTGATTTTAAATTTGTCTCCTTTTTAAAGAAGTTTCATAATCAACATATAAGGAAGTATACAATCACCCAATATGTTGCCTTGAGTTTAGTTTTCAAGGCCTTCATTTCTGTAATCTGCTTGGGCTTTCACTCACGCTTCAGCAAAACATCCCTGAGAGTGTGTCAATAATGTGAAACTTAAGACATCCACACAGTGTACAATCAAAGCAATTATATGTAGAACGTAACTGCTAGGGACATGCACACACAAGTTCCTACCTACTCATCTACAGTGTCAAAATCGCTGGACAGAAAGTTTAGCTGCTCTGTTTTGCATTCTGGGTGGGGTGATTGACATTTGCTTCCTAGTCTATAGTAACAGATCTCTTTTTAAGTAATATATGGAGAAAGGGGGGAGAAATCAATCTTATATTCTGAAAATGGGTGCTTATTAATCTGTCTAAATCCAATTAAAATATTGGGATATTCCACTTACTGGAGAATGGATGAGCAATTTGCAATCTTCCAATTCCTTGGAGATGCTGTTTGACAAGAGAAACAGAAATCCCTCCAGTATTCCACTGCTGTGTAGGAAGTGACGCCTCACGATGTTGGTCTACTTCCTGTCCATGTCTCTTTCCACCTCTAAGCAAGGACTAAAACAGACCAGACAGAATAAGATGATCAAGAAAAGGCATCTCACCAACAAGGAAATAATCATCTCTGGCCATAGACATATGGCTAGAACATGGGTCAAACACAAGGTCTGTGGGCCAAATCTGGACCACCACGTCATTTTATGTGGCCCATGAGGCTTTCAATGCCAGGCAATGCAGTTATACATTTATATAGTCTTACAATTGCAAGTCATTTTAGTGACTTGCAAGTACTTGATATTCAAGATAATTGTGAGAAAGAAACATGGAAAAGCCTCAATTGATATTCATTTTCCCTTCATAATTGACATTTCAGACAGGGATAACATCACATCACAGGCTTTTAGAAGACTTGACTTGAGAAAATAACTGAACAATAGAATCAACTTTTAAAGTCCTGAGCTGATCAATATTCAACCTTGATGTGGCCACATAGTTTTTGCATTACATTCATGCGAAAGTTTTTCTCTATTCAAAGCAGGATAGACTATTTTATACACATACTTTTGTCCTCGCCACAATTCTGTGAGACAAATAAATCTGAAAAACATTAACTTATCCAAGGTAACTCAAAATACCTGAGATCTAAGGATTTAGTATTGGGTCTTCCTAGTTTTTGTGAAACATACTAATCTATACACCATGATCTCAGTTATTGTTATTATTTCATGTCAAAAGCATTTTCACTTTTCGCAGGTTGTTCTGGAATATAACACCCGTGATAAGTGAGGGAACACTGTAGATAGATAGATAGTATAGCTCCATATATTGACACACGGTTCAGTAACAGATCTAATACTACAGGCCTGGACCTACTTGGGCCCTCCAGGCATTTTGGACTTCAACTCTCACAATTCCTAATTGCCGATCCAGCTGTTAGGAATTGTGGGAAGCCTCAGCAATGTGTGGCAGGGGACAGCTAGTGTGTGTGTATGTGATAGAGAGCTTTGGATGGCATAGGGAAAGAAAGAAAAGCCCAATTCGAAGGAGAAAATAACTCCTAACATGATTAAGATAAAAACCTATTATATATTCTTGATGGAACCTACTGAACCCATCTTTATGTCTGAAATATGTCATAAGAAATTCAATGTGCAGATTTGAGAAATGTAAAATTAATGTGATGTGTGGGAATGACTGGAGGAATGAAAGTTGTATGGATGGAGTTAATAATTTTGGAAACACCAGTATAATATTAAGGCCTGCAATGACTAACTACCTGCTTGCTGGAACTGTGATCAAAACCTGCTAATGAGAATGGGTAAGAACTGTGACAATGTCTCTTTCAAGTTAAGGAAATGTTTGCAACATTCCTTATGTTAAGAAGGAAGTCAACACAAGCCTTGTGTCTGTCAACACCAATTAAGAAGAGTCAACATCTGCCCAGGAAACTGAGATGGATCCAGGATGGAAGACGTCTATCATTAATTTACAACTTTGGGACTACATCAACAGAATATTCATATAAAAGACTCAGTCTAATAATGCTCAAAGTGTGACCGACCTGAGGATTCTGGTTCACCTGCTATGCTCTGCTCCATGGGAAGGAGAAAGATAGTGTACCTATGGATATTGGCAAATTTGCACAGGAGCAGTCTGGTCACTTTGGGACCTCTTTCTCCAGGGAAGAGAAAGAAGTGCGCTTCTGGAGTTTTAGATTTTGTGCAGGGAGTCAGGTTCTGTTGTATGGAAAACAGAGATCTGGTCCTTGGCATTGTCCTTAGGGAAAGACATTTTGGCATTTCGGCGTTTTGAAGTTTTGACATTATCTTGGAACTATGCACTGTCAGGCTGCAGGAAATCAGGGCCTGGCCTAACAGGTGCTTCTCCAAGGAGGGAGGAAATGATATGGTAATACTTGAATGCCTGAGGATGAATGCGTGTACATGTGTGTGAATGTTGAGTGAAAATGTAATTCCCCTTTGTTTGTTAACCAATGCAATTGTAAATCAAATATAGATGCATTGAATCTGTATGTCTGTATGTCATTCTTTGTCTAAATGTTTTTTCTGTAATCTGATATACCTTCTCACACTGGAAATTACAATAAAAAGAACCTATGCTTCAAAGTTATTGAAAAGTCATTCATGACAATATGCATATTGTTTTGTTGCAGACATAACAGGAAGCAATAGTTTCTCACTGCCTGAATGAGCTGACAAGTTTCACATTAGCCTGTTTCCACTTGGTTTTGCAGTCCTAAAAAGTAGCTCATTTGTTTTTAAACAAGCCAGTTTAAATCATATCCAAATCAAGATAACTATCAATTCTTTAAAATGTGTTTCCTACGCATTTGTGCAAAAAGTTACAGCTTGTTCATGCAGCAACAAACAACAATTGCCTATTACATTTGAACCAGGTTTCTGGCTCATTTTGAACAAGAAATTTGGGTATTTGAAAAAAAAAGTGCTACCGTATATTCCGGGGTACAAGACGACTTTCTAAGCCTGAAAAATCATCTCAAAAATGGGGAGTCGTCTTGTACCCCGGCATAAATTTTTTTGGATCATTTTTCCCTCGTGTCCCTCGCCCTTGGCATCCCCGCGTGGTGGAGCCTGAGGAGGGAGGGCGGAGGGAGGGAGGGAGGGAGGGGGCGAGGAGGAGGAGCGGCAGGCTTCGCTACCAAGCTGGCAGCATGGTAGCCTACTGGGCTGTCTTCACCTTCGCAGGCATTGAGTTGGGTCCGCCTCCGCCCTCCATCTCAGTGTAGCTGCTGCAGGAGGGAGCCAAAGCCAGAGGGGCGGGGCCTCTCGCTGCTCCGCCCCGCCCCCGCAGATGGCCCCGCCCCCCGGTTCCGCCCCCCCGCTCCGTCTTCAACTCCTGCTGCTTTACCAGGCCGGCGAGGGTGTTTGCATGCTGTGCTGTCCCCTCCGCCACTGGTCTGCTGCTAGCTTTGCATGCAAACACCCTCGCCGGCCTGGTAAAGCAGCAGGAGTTGAAGACGGAGCGGGGGGGCGGAACCGGGGGGCGGGGCCATCTGCGGGGGCGGGGCGGAGCAGCGAGAGGCCCCGCCCTCTGGCTTTGGCTCCCTCCTGCAGCAGCTACACTGAGATGGAGGGCGGAGGCGGACCCAACTCAATGCCTGCGAAGGTGAAGACAGCCCAGTAGGCTACCATGCTGCCAGCTTGGTAGCGAAGCCTGCCGCTCCTCCTCCTCGCCCCCTCCCTCCCTGCGCCCCCCCTATGACTTCCTCTCACATATTTACATAGGGTCTCATCATGTCTCCTCTCAGCCTTCTCCAGGCTAAACATGCCCAGCTCTTTAAGCCACTCCTCATAGGGCTTGATCTCCAAACCCTTGACCTGCTCTCTCCTCCCTATGACTTCTTCTCACATATTTATACATGGCTCTCATCATGTATCCTCTCAGCCTTCTCTTCTTCAGGCTAAACATGCCCAGCTCTTTAAGCCACTCCTCATAGGGCTTGATCTCCAACCCTTGACCTGCTCTCTCCTCCCTATGACTTCTTCTCACATATTTATACATGGCTCTCATCATGTCTCCTCTCAGCCTTCTCTTCTTCAGGCTAAACATGCCCAGCTCTTTAAGCCACTCCTCATAGGGCTTGATCTCCAGACCCTTGGCCTGCTCTCTCCTCCCTATGACTTCTTCTCACATATTTATACATGGCTCTCATCATGTATCCTCTCAGCCTTCTCTTCTTCAGGCTAAACATGCCCAGCTCTTTAAGCCACTCCTCATAGGGCTTGATCTCCAGACCCGTGACCTGCTCTCTCCTCCCTATGACTTCTTCTCACATATTTATACATGGCTCTCATCATGTATCCTCTCAGCCTTCTCTTCTTCTTCAGGCTAAACATGCCCAGCTCTTTAAGCCACTCCTCATAGGGCTTGATCTCCAGACCCTTGACCTCCTCTCTCCTCCCTATGACTTCTTCTCACATATTTATACATGGCTCTCATCATGTCTCGTCTCAGCCTTCTCTTGTTCAAGCTCAACATGCCCAGCTCTTTAAGCCGCTCCTCATAGGGCTTGTTCTCCAGACCCTTGATCTGCTCTCTCCTCCCTATGACTTCCTCACATATTTATACATGGCTCTCATCATGTCTCCTCTCAGCCTTCTCTTCTTCAGACTAAACATACCCAGCTCTTAAGCCGCTCCTCATAGGGCTTGTTCTCCAGACCCTTGATCATTTTAGTCACCCTCTTCCTCTGGACACATTCCAGCTTATCAACATCTCCCTTCAGTTGTAGTGCCCAGAATTGGACACAATGTAATTCCAGGTTTGGTCTAACCACGGCAGAATAGAGCATGGGGAGCATGACTTCCCTGGATCTAGACACTATGCTCCTATTGATGCAGGCCAAAATCCTATTGGTTTTTTTTTTGTTTGTTTGTTTGTTTTTTTGCCACCACATGACATTGTTGGCTCATGTTTAACTTGTTGTCCACGAGGACCTCAAGATCTTTTTCACACATACCGCTCTTGAACCACGCGTCCCCCATCCTGTATCTTTGCATTTCATTTTTGACAGAAGTCAAACTGGAAAGCTCTTATTGACCCAGGGTCCCCTTTCCTCTTTTCTGATCTCTTTTCCCCTTCTAACAATTAAACATCACCTGGCTATGTTCTTGAGAAACTCTAAAACAATTCAAGCTGTCACGGTGATTTAAGGATGAAGACATGTCAAGATGTGACCCAGTAAACATGTGCCATGCCAAATGCTACATTTCTGAAGGATGAGGTCCAATCTGCCCCTCTCTTCTGATAGGAGGTCCTGATTTATAAAGACTGCTTATAGATAAAAATTCTACAAATGCTTTGCTTTCACCTCAGTACTCATAATACAAAGCCTGACTTCTATTTGCATGCAAGCTTCTATGCCAACATACATGTAATCTGAACCATTTAAAGCCTGCTTTCATACTTGCCAGCATGATGTAAAGGACCCAGAGTGTAAATGAAATTCGAGGGAGAGCAACTGTAATGTCCAATATAAGGTACAATTTCCCTCTCATAGGAACCTGCATGTCAGAAGCTTTTGAATTCAAATTACCATATTGAATTCAAATCTCATTTTTTTAAAAATTTATTTGGTGTGCATTGGAAGAGGGGTGGTCTTATACGGCGAGTATATCCCAAACTCTATATTTTAACTAGAAAAATTGGGGGTCGTCTTATACGCCCAGTCGTCTTATATGCCGGAATATACGGTACTTCTAAAATCAGTTTACCATCTGCCATCTCCATCTGGATAAATCATGGGGATGTTTTGCTTTCTTCTTAAGATCAAATTAGACGTGACTTCAAGCACATTTCTGAATTGTATGCTTGTGTCTGGCCACATCTTTGTTTATCAAGAGCAGCTGCAGGACCAGAGAAGGGGGGGGGGGTTTCACTCTATCCTCCATGACACCCCCATCCCAGTGGAACACCCATCTCTTACAACCCCCAAACTGGAAAAAAAACCAAACCAAAACATCCTGCATGCCTCACTTTTACAATGATTAAAATTAGGGCAAATAACAGCTAATGGAATGGGAGAGTTTTTGTTTGGAATATGGCCCAACACCCCCAACAACTTTGTAGCTGCGTTTTCTAAATAAAGCAACAGCTAAAAGCAAGCACGTAATTAAAAACGCACTTCAGTCACATCTTCCTTGGACCTTAAGACACCCTCACAATGAGTTTAGATGGTAATCTGCTCTGCTCAACAAGCACTGCTGCTTGTCATTTGGATCATTTAGCCCTGAAGGAGACTTATGAGGAAGAGCATTTAAAAATATATACACTATTTCTAAGAGAACTCACATTGCCAACCCATCATTCCTTTTTTCAGAGCAATGCAACCCAAGGGGAAAAAAATACATAGCTTAAGTTACAAGAATGCATCTTTTACTAAACCAAATGTTTAGAAAGTAGGCCACCCTAAAGGCATTTCAACATGCACTATGGAAGCTTTCCTGCATTTCAACCTTTATTCTGAACTAGGGCTATGCTTCTAGCCTCAAGATCAGAGAGATAAGATTGCTGGCAGAAGGGCAGAAACAAAGAATTTCATCCACTTTCAAGAATCCTTTTAATTATTTGTTTTGTTCTCATAAAGCAAATGAGAAAATGTGTTCCTTTATAACAAGGTGGCATGTTTCACTGGTCTCAAGAGATTCTGTGCATTTTTGCAAATTTCTATAAATACAAACTTTAAAATTCCAAAAATGTTGCTTTATTTCACGGGCTGGGTTGATGTAATTTTTCTGCTCAATCAGCCTGTTCTTTTGTACTTTCTGTGCATGTTTAGCTTTATAAAGGAAAAAGCTGTGATAGGTTGAGCATCTTATCTGTAATGGATGGATGAGATATTGACATATTTGCATTGTGATAGTTTCACGTACACAAAATTATTAAAAATATTGTGTATAAAATTATCTCTAGGCTATAGATATATGTGTGTGTGTGTGTGTGTGATGAATTTAGTGTTTAGACACGAGTCCCTTCGCTAAGATATACCAAAATTATTATCTAGATTTGCCTTACTCACCACTGTGTAAACAAATCAGAAATATTTGGCTGCCAGAGACTTCATCTTCCTGTTAAAAGGATTATGCCGTGTTTGCATCTTAATAGTTGTATCTTCATGCCTCCCTGTGACAGTATGATTGTCGGATGCGCATGCAGCCTAGGAAGAGAACAGGCACATTGTTAACAATAACTATACAAATAAACTGTGGCCAATTTCCCTACAGCCGAGCTTTCAGATTCCACAACTCCACAAGCAGAAAGGAGTCTTCTTTTCAGACAGGGATAACTTTGTATCATCACTAGCTCAGCTTTATAAAACTGGAGAAACTGTACGCATCAAAATTAAGGGAGCTTTGTTCTAGCTCTTCTGAATACCGAAATATTAATCTTTCACCCTACCAGTGACACCTAGTGGTCATTTCATCAGATTCGTGAGCACACCTCTTTGAACAAAGAAGCTTTTTTCCTGTCTCCATAGCCCTCCTTTTCCTTTGTCTAGCTGAAATTTTTTACACAGCATTAGTATTGGGAGTGGGGTAGAGCAACACTGTAATTGCAGCCCCACTGAACAAAATACGTATCAAGATATCTTTATCACAACCTTCTCATAAGTACAATTTACAGGACATTGTTCTTCTTGCATTGATTTTATTTATGTTGCTTCTCTGAAGGACTGAATTTTAATGCTCTAAATCAGTGTAACAGACTAATGAGAATCTGTTTAATCAGCCTTTGAACAGAAATGCCTTATTGTTTAACATAACTTTAATGCATATATAGGTTTCACTACAAAATAGGGCCCCCTGGTAGCACAGCTGGTTAAACTGCTGAACTTGAATTTGCTGACCGAAAGGTTGGCGGTTCGAATCCGGGGAGCAGAATGAGCTCCTGCTTTTAGGCCCAGCTTTTGTCAACATAGCAGTTCAAAAACATGCAAATGTGAGTAGATCAATAGGTACTGCTCCAGCAGGAAGGTAGCAGCGTTCCATGCAGTCATGCCGGCCACATGACCTTGGAGGTGTCTACGGACAACGTCGGCTCTTCAGCTTACAAATGGAGAGAAGCACTCCCCCCTAGAGCTGGACACAACTAGACTTAATGTCAAGGGAAACCTTTACCTTTACAAAATAGGTACAAACTAGCAAGTTATTCAGAATTATTTTCTGACCAATTTACTATTAATCAAAAAATAGGATCCCTTGCACTTCTATCCCAGCCTGTCTTCCTTCTTTTTATTTACTACAACTCTCCAAACTGTCTCTTCTAGTTTTGTACTTAACAGATATCTAAAGAATATGATTGGTTATCTCAAAGATTGTTAAATTAGAACATGAGAATTAATTATAATTTCCTTGATCTAGGCAAATACCAACTGCTGTAAGAACATCATGTCATCTGTTTTGATTAACAAATCATTCTATTTTTTAAAAAATCACTTACTTTGATTATATTATATCATACAATAAAAGCTTGATTATGGTAACAGAATGCCATTAATTTCAAACAGTTACTGATAGCAAACATCAACATATGCAACATCTGGGGAGCACACCATCCGTAAGATCAGCAAATCAGAAAACTTTGAACAAAAAACAAAAGCGTTTCACTGAAAAATGATATGTGGGTCTTGTGCTGGGTGTATTGTGTGACTTCAGATAGAGTTATTCTGCCTTAAACTAAGAATCAACCCTTAGAAAGAAGTGAGGAACATGTGGCCTTCTATCTATTGTTAAGACTGCTACATCCCAGGATCAGGAAATCCAGACTTTTCCCAATCTTGCCTTAAACATTATGGCAAAATTTAATTTTGGCTTAAAATAAAAAGCTATAGGTTGAGCATCCTTTGTCTTAAGTTCTGAAAAACAAAAAACTCACAAATTATACATATGTGACTGAGATAGTGGTAGGTTTGCCTTCTGAAGGGACATCGGCTATGTTTCATAAACAACATTATTCAAAGTGCTGTATAACATTACCTTCAGGTTATGCATGTATATACACTGTATAAATAATGCAACCTGACACCTCATTAATTATCAAAGATCAATGCTATGGAATCGCATGAACTGTGATTTGATGTGGTACTAGCACTATTTGGCAAAAAAGCTGGAAAACCTTGTAAAATGACGACTCCACATGAATCAACTGAAATGAGCCATAGCACTTAAAAGTGTGGTCAAACTGCATTACACCAACAGAGTAGATGTACTCCTATGTGTATAAGGTATATATGAAGCAGAAATGAATCTTCTGTTAAGACCTAGGTCCCATTTCCAAGGTATTTTATTATGTATTTATATGCAAATACAGATATTCAAAAATCCCAAAAAATCAAAAATCTCAAACTTTTTTAGTCCCGATCATTTCAGATAAGGAATACCTTTACAAAAGTGTTTGCACAAATTGCAGAAAATACAACAAAAATATTTGATGTCCAGTTCTGGCAAAAATCTCACAGCTCGAGAAAACTGAGGCCAGTTTCAAGCAAAATGTCATCAACTGCAACTTTACTTTACTTCGCAGTATCAACTGCAACAACTGCTTTACTTCACAGCTTTACTTCACAGTAGCAACGGCGCACAGCTGCCATGCTGCCTTCACAGAGAAGCAAGTAGAACTGAGCCAAAGTTTCCTGCTCAGTGGATGCTGAATGTGTTTGAGACCCTTTGAAAGGTGCAACAAGACTACAGAACACACTTACCACTGATGAAAATCAGAAATATGTGGTTGACAGAGACTTCATCTTCATGGTAAAAGGATTCTGCTGTGTTTGCATCTTAATAGTTACGTCTCCATGATGTCTGCATCAGTCAGAGGCACATGCAGCCTAAGAAAAGAACAGGCACGCTGTTAGCAATAACTGTACAAATAAACTATGCCATGTGTGCCCAATTTCCCTACAGCTGAGCTTTCAGATTCTACAGCTCCACAAGCAGAAATAGTCTCCTTTTCAGACAGGGATAACTTTGTATCATCACCAGCTCAGCTTTATACAACCTGGATCAACTGCACATAAATAAAGTGAATTTTGTTCTAGCCCTGCTTTTGAATAAAGGTAAAGGTTTCCCTTGACATGAAGTCCAGTCTTGTCCAACTCTGGAGGGTGGTGCTCATCTCCATTTCTAAGCCGAAGAGCTGGCATTGTCAGTAGATGCCTCCAAGGTCATGTGGCCTGCACGACTGCATGGGGCGCCTTTTGAATACTGGATTTCACCCTACCAGTGACACCTAGTGGGCACTATGGAACATGGCAGCAGATGGTGAAGATGCTGTTTTCTTGCCTTTCAATCAATTTACTTGTTAACAAAGCCTCTGACAAAGAATCTTCTTTTTACAAAGTAAGGCCATTCCCATCAAGGTGAGAAGGGCAGGGCACAAATGTGGTAAATAAATGGCTCAATGCTATGGAATCATGGGTGCTGTACTTTGGTGAGGCACCAGCACTCTTTGGCAGAGAAGGCCTTGGAAAACCACAACTGCAAAACACTTCCATGGGTGATTTGAGATACAATTTTGTGGCCTTCCAATGCAACTCACTCTTCAGCAGTTCATTTCGCAGTCGGATTTCAGTAAAATCCTCTGACAAAGAAGCTTCTTTCTACAAAGTGTTTCTCTGTCTATCCCTAGCATTGGGACATGGCAAGTTAAAAGTGATGTCGAACTGCATTAATTCTACAATGTAAAAGATGCACACAGGGGACATAATTACAATGTGTATAATCATAATTCATGATGGCATGTTTGACCAACTGCTATAAGAATAGTATGAACTCTGCTTTAAATAACAATATGCTTTAAATCACCAACCTGGTTCAACTTTGAAATAAGAGCTTGATTTATAGTAACATAATGCCATCAATCTATGCAATACCTAGGGACCATATGTCATAATGTTAATTAATAATTATGTTATGTAAAGGTAAAGACTTTCCCCTGACGTTAAATCCACTCATATCCGACTCCGGGGGGGGGGGGGGGGGGGGGGGGGGTGATTGGTGCTCATCTCCATTTTTAAGCTGAAGAGTAAGCGTTGTCCACAGACATGTCACGTGGCTGGCATGACTGCATGGAACACCGCTACCTTCCTGCCGGAGCTGAACCTATTGATCTTCTCACATTTGCATGTTTTCAAACGGCTAGGTTGGCAAAAGCTGGGCCTAAAAGCGGGAGCTCACCCCACTCCACAGATTCCAACTGGTGACCTTTCAGTCAGCAAGTTCAGCAGCTCAGTGGTTTAACCGACTGCGCCACAGGAGCTCGCCAGAGGGGGACTAAAACGATCAAAATTCTGCAGAACAAGCCCTATGAGGAGCGGCTTAAAGAGCTGGGTATGTTTAGCCTGAAGAGAAGGTTGAGAGGAGACATGATGACCATGTATAAATATGAGAGGACGTCAAAGGGAGGAAGGAGCAAGCTTGTTTTCTGCTTCCCTGGAGACTAGGACACAGAACAATGGCTTCAAACTACAAGAAAGGAGATTCCACCTGAACATTAGGAAGAACTTCCTGACTGTGAGAGCTGTTCAGCAGTGGAACTCCCTGCCCCGGAGTGTGGTGGAGGCTCCTTCTTTGGAGGCTTTTAAACAGAGGATGGATGGCCATCTGTTGGGAGTGCTTTGAATGCAATTTTCCTGCTTCTGACAGTGTAGAACAGACATGGGCAAAGGTGTTTTGGACTTCAACATGGCTGTTAGGAATTGTGGGAGTTGGAAGTCCAAAACACCTGGAGGGCCCAAGTTTGCCCATGCCTGGTGTAGAAGATGCACCCCAAGCCCACATACTGGTAAATTCGTCTCACCAATAGGAGTATTTACTCACCGCGAGGCCTTCCTCGAGGCCAGAACGAAGCAGCGCCATGTTTCCTCGCCTCTTCCTGTCCTACACTAACCTGCGAAGAAGCAAGGAAGCCAGTCTGGGCCTGCAAACGGTTCTCCCAACCGGAGAGGGAGTGGGACACGTCGGCCCACGGGACTGGAAGGCACTTGCGGACAAGAGTGGAGGCCCCACGGCGCCTCCCAAGCCAGCCCTGCCGAGGATGGCAACGGATCCCCACGCAGGCCGCAGCGCCGACATCTCGGGCGAAAGAAAGCGGCCAAGGAAAAGGAAGAGAAGTGCGCCTGCGCAAAACGGGAAGCCGTGCTTCTCAGGAAATCGCGTCCTACGTATCGCGAGAAACAAAGGCCTTGCTGGGGGTTGTAGTTTTCTTAGCTCCAGCTATTCCTGCCTGGATTTCCCCCTCATGGGCAAAACAGTTTAAAACCCGCGGTCACTTCAAATCTAACATTCTCTCCTTCCAACAAAGGATTCCCCCAGGCTTGAAGCAGCCAAGCTTTGAAGCTGCTAGGCTACTCATGACAATAAATGAAGAACAACATTCAAAAACAAGGGGACTCCAGACAAGAAACAATCAGGGGCAGCTAATCACCTCTCAACAAAGGATTCCCCCAGGCTGAGAGCAGCCAGGCTTTGAAGCTGCCAGGCTATTCATGACGGTAAATGAAGAACAACATTAAAAAAAACCCAAGAGGACTCCAGACAAGAAACAATCGGGGACAGCTATTCATCTCTCAACAAAGGATTCCCCCAGGATGGAAGCAGCCAGGCTTTGAAGCTGCCAGGCTATTCATGACAGTAAATGAAGAACAACATTCAAAAACAAGCAGACTCCAGACAAGAAACAATCAGGGACAGCGAATCACCTCTCAACAAAGGATTCCTCCAGGCAGTAAGAAGCCACACCTTGAAACTGCATACTAATCAAGGTGACCAATTGCAACATTCACACTTGCCTCCAACAGACAAGAGTTCTTTCTCCCACCCTGGACATTCCACAGATATATAAATCTCACATGCCTAGTTTCCAACAGACCTCACAACCTCTGAGGATACCTGCCACAGATGTGGGTGAAACGTCAGGAGAGAATGGTTCTGGAACATGGCCATACAGCCCAAAAAACTCACAAGAACCCAGTGATTCTGGCCATAAAAGCCTTTGACAACACAGGCTCTCCTTCTTTAGCAACCGCAGGCTCTCCAAAGGTGCAACTCGAAATTGAGCTCAGTTAAGGGTCAACCACACTAGTAGAATCATAGCCCTTTGAGAGCACTGTATCTGCCATGGCTCAAGGATGCAGTATTCTGGGATTTATATTTTACCGTGGTAGCAAAACTCTCTGCCAGAGAAGGCTCAGTAGCCCACAAAACTACAAATCCCAGAATTTGTGTTTAGCCATGGCACTTTAAGTGCTGTCAAACCGAGATAATTATGCAGTGTGGCTACAGCCTTAGGGTGCATCCACACTGTAGAATTCATGCAGTTTGACACCACCTTAACTACTATGGCTCAGTGCTGGAGAGTCCTGGGATTTGTAGTTTGGCTAGGCACCAACACTTCTGGCAGGGAGGTCTGAAGACCTTGTTAAAACTACAACTCCCAGGATTCCATTGCATTAAGCCACCTTTGTCTCCATTTTTTAGTTTTCTGGATTTATTTATTTATTTATAATTAAATAATTAACAACATGCCTAAATAATTAACAACACACTTTTTTCATACAGTGTGAAAAAAATCCACAATAATGAACATTTTACAAGCACCACCTAGGCCTGAAAGCATTGTTTCCTCTGCTATATATTTATGAGTCATCCACTAAACAAATGCCATATCCAAAATTACTGACCAACATGATTGTCTAGTTTTCCCTTATCACTTTCTAAAATATATTCAATGAAGCCCAACCAATGTGAGTCAAAATCCGATCTTTCAATTTTCCCCCTTAACACCCTCATTTCCGTCAATAGTTTATCATTTAAGGCTATGTTCCGTACCTCGCCATACCATACTTCCAGTGTGAGATTGGTTATTATCTTTCAATTCCTTGCAATAAGGTTGTTTTACTGTGAGTAAAATAATCACCAATTCTTTCTTTTCCCTTTCTAAGTTCAGCTTTGGGGCCTCCATTAGTAATGCCAACCTAGTATCCAGGGTGATGTTTAGTTCTATAATTTTACCAATTTCCTTAACTATATTGTCCCAGATACTCTTCAGCAGGGGGGCATTTCCACCATAAATGAAAATATGTCCCTTTGTACATATTTAACCAGATTTATTTATTTATATGCCACCTTTCTCCTGGAATAATAACAACAACAACAACAGTTCCCCACCCCTCCTTATGGCTCCTGGTGGGTTACAACACACTTAAAGCACTGTACATACGTATAATAAGATACATATATTTAAGCATGTTACTATAAAATACATATATTAAAACACATGGTTCAATTTTTAAAAAACAAACAAACCGGTAGCAACATTCAGGGCTGCTTCCCACAATGGTAAATTAAGATAAAGGTAAAGGTTTTCCCCTGACATTAAGTCCAGTCGTGTCTGACTCTTGAGGCTGGTGTTCATCTCCATTTCTAAGCTGATGAGCCAGCATTGTCCACAGACACCTCCATGGTCATGTGGCTGGCATGACTACATGGAGCGCTGTTACCTTCCTGCTGAAGCGGTACCTATTGATCTACTCACATTTGCATGTTTTCGAACTGCTAGGTTGGCAGAAGCTGGGGCTAACAGCGGGAGCTCACCCCTCTCCTCGGGTTTGAACCGCCAACTTTTCGGTTGGCAAGTTCATCAGCTCAGCGGTTTAACCCATTGCTCCACCGGGTAGCAACATTCAGGGCAGCTTCGCAAAATGGTAAATGAAAAACAATCAAATTTAAGAACAAGTAAAATCATTTCATAAACCTTAAAAAATCTTATTAATACACAAGCATTAAAAAGATAAAGGTCTACAAGAGATGCCAAAATTGTACATCATATTCCAAGGGTGGTTGAACACAGAATTCTCTAGACTAGAGGCATTGCCTAAATACCCTAAAGGCCTCTGATCCTGTGTGACTTTGAAAGCTAAGTAGGGCCAGTCCAGTTTAGGACTTGGGTGGAGGACTGATGATGAATACCATGTGCTGTAGGTGTAATATTTCAAAGGGAGGAAGTGGCTTTTAAAACTAACCCTCGAGTATCCTTTGCCTAAGAAAGCCCTATGAAATCCATGGGGTTGCTGTAAGTCAACAGGTGACTTTTAAAAGCCCCAACGCATTGCAGTGTAATCAGTTTTCAATTAATTTCTCTCCCTAATGATCCCTAACATGGAATGTTCCCTCTCTTCCCCATTTACTGGATTAATGTTTTCATGGAGCCATCCACCTTGACAATCCTTTTACAGATTAGTCACTGCCAGCCACACTCCATTAATATAAACATTAAGTTGCCATTTAGCTCTAATGTGTATTCCTTTACACTTCCTTGCTTTACAAATCTATGGTTGACAACCCCAGATTTGTGAAATTGGCTTTGGAGCACAGGCAGATCCATTTTCACTTCTCATTCTCATGATCCCTACCATTTCCCCCCTTTTCCCAGCAATCACACAGACTGAGGATATTTTTGTTATCAACTTATAAACTAGTATTTTTTAATGAGGCCATTTATTCATTTCTTTCTAAAGTTTGTACTATGTTACAGCTTACTAGCCGTCCCCTGCCACGTGTTGCTGTGGCCCCAGTCTGTGTATATATGTGTGTGTATATATTTGTACATATATGTGGCTTTGTGCATACGTTATAATGTAATTTTTATTTTTATTTTTGCTTGTTAAGTCTCTTCTGTTGTGTTTTTCAGTGTTTTTATGAGTGATGGTCATTCGTTGGCCTGACAAGTGTAGTGAGTCCAAATTTGATGTCAATTCGCCCAGTGGTTTTTGAATTGTGTTAATCCCATAAACGAACATTACATTTTTATTTATATAGATGCAGCAAGCCTCCTTGAGTCCCATAGTGGCAAAAAGGTAGGGATCATGTGTGTATGTGTGAGTATATATGTATGTGCTGTCACACCCAAGCTGCTTTAAATGTCATTAGTAAGAATGTGTCTTAGCTTTCTATCAGCTTGGGGGAGGCTGGTTTACCTACATGTTTGAGCAAGGAATTCCACAGATTCAATGTCCACACTACTGCTTTAGAGAAACGGTAATGATTTATTGACTGGTCTTGGGCTTATCTCCATCTAGGCACTATCTTGATTTCCCCACAACAAAGTCAATACTTAAAATTTGAAGATAACTGGTTGTTCTTGAAGTCACTGCTAGTGACTTCAAGAACGAAGGAGACGAAGGACAGATTAAAGTTTATCTTGCTCACTTTCTCTGGTAAAAGGACCTCTGGGGCACCCAATTCTCAAGTTGATCAGGCTGGAGACTATTTATTTATTTATTTATTGTGTCAGAAGCGAGTTCAGGGTACAGTTAAAATGCATTTAAAAACGCAAAGTTTTTAAAACTTGGCATTTTGCTAAATGTCCTTTGACCAGTAGCTGGCCACTTGGAGTGCATCTGGTGTCTCTGTGAGAAGGTCCTCCATTGTGCTTGTGGAAGGGCTCAGGTTGCATTGTAATAGGTGGTCTGTGTTGCTCTTCTCCATGCTTGCATGTTGTGGACTCCATTTTGAAGCCCCATTTCTTAAGCTTAGCACAGCCTGTTCAGCGCCTTCCAGTCTTCTGTGTGCCTGGGAGGGAGTTTCTCATTCGGTCTCAGCCACTGATTAAGATGCAAGGTTTTAACCTGCCACTTTTGGAGTCTTGCTTGCTGACGTGTTGCTTGCTCTCGATCTTAGGAAGTTTTTCTGGTTTTAAACCATTGGCATGCTGGCTGATATCCGAACAGAGGATGGGCCGGAGGCTGAGAGAACAGATCTCTCCTATTGAGGCTTGGCACCTTGCTGAAGGCACTGGAAACTCCACAGGTCGCCACTAACCGGAGGTAGATCAGTATAGTTGAATGAGTTCCCAGAATGCTGGGGGTTATTGGCTTGAAATGGGTTGTCCAACTCCCAAATGACAAAATCAATTTTTTTGAGTGATGGTCAATCCGTGGGTTAGTAGGTGTCTTGTGGCTAAATTTGGCGGCAATTCGTCCAGTGGTTTTTGAGTTATGTCAATCCCAAAAATGAACATTACATTTTTATTTATATAGATGTTATATTGTATTTTTGTATACAAATAGCAATAAAATAGTACTAATATGACTTGGTCCATTTTAAT